AAACACGAGTTTGTGTAACAGGCTGTGTGTTCCTGATAGCACGAGACTCAGAGTGTCGCCGTAATGATCAGTGTGTGTTTTACATGTCGTGGTGCATGGTTTTTCTGTGTGCGTGGTGAGCTCAGATGCGCGGTACGAACGAAGAGGCTTTGACATTTCCTGTCATTGCAGCTACAACTTTGACAGCCCTCCCTGTCCACCCAAGAGATGTTGTCACATGCTGGCTGCTTTTGTGAGAGCTGAGCAGAAGCCGTGACTCCGAAGAGATTTACTGTTCTGAGCATTTGCGCTGCTGTTGGATGTGCTGCTCCCCACCAACACCTGCCTTTTCCCTGCGGAGAAGACGGTCACCTGGTGGTAGCTGAGAACAGAGCACTCCTGTATTAAACAGTAAATTAAAAAAAGGATGATTACAAATTAAATGAGGACAAAAGAAAAATAATGTCATGCCAACAAAGGGGAGTAAAATCCTTTATAAAGAAATTTGTGTCTAGTAGATCTAATATAAGATATATATTTTAGTTCCTATTAGGACACCCTGTCTTTAGAAATAGCCGTATATCTCATCCAAAGCCACTGAAAAAATGTGATTTTGATCAATGGCTCATTTGGAATAAGAACATCTTTGTGAGCAAATACACTGGTTTGCATCCATAAAGGTAATCATGCATCTTTTTTTAGACTCTGCTGCCCCCTCATGGCTTTTAGAAAGGCAACATAGTTACCAGGCTAAAGACTGGGATGGTGCATGTGCGATGTTGCCTCATGTTATTTAGTTTAATAGAATTTAGTTTCTTTGTCAGACAAAATTGTTCGCCCTACCCTCAGATTTATCACTGTTATATATGAATTGTTAAACTTGAAAATGGTCAGAAGTGTAATCTTTTTCATATAATTGTTTTTGTCCCATTATGATATTTTGCATGACACTTTACTTAACATGAAAAATATTATAGAACTTCATTGACATCTCTTATAAATGCCATGCTCCCATAGTGTAACACTGACACATTTACATTCTATTCTGTACTTCTAATAGCCACCATAATGGTGCAGTTTTTGATTTTCCTGTATCATCATCATACATTTATATTTGTTATTCATACTTTTTAATACATCAGAAAGCATAGTGTAAAAATCCATTATATTCACATAGAAGTATTTACCTTTGCTGGACATCTACAGTGGCACTGCATCAGTGATTGTGACTGTTACCGCTTATGGCTGTCGATATTGACCGCCGTTGGTTGTGTGAGAGAAAAGCGAAGTTAGTTTGCTCTACCTCTGCACTTTGCTCCTCCCTCATCTGCATATCTCTTTCTCCCTCTCCCTTACTCTCTCTCTTTGTCTGTCTGTCTATCTCTCTCTCTCTCCCCACCAACCAATAGTCCATATTTTCCCATCTTTTTCTCTTTATAAGTCACACCCATCCTGATGTCTCTCCTCTCACAGACAGCTCCCTCTTTTCTGCTCAAGTAGCTTTGTCAGCCTTGTTACAACCTCCATTCTCCCTCGTCCTCTCTGTGTTTGTCTAGACACAAGTGCATGTGTAGTACTGTTCACTGAAAATGAGTTTGCCAGTGAACTCAGACTATCTATCTCTGGAAAAGATAGCCCGCTACCGCCACGCCTGCTCCAACGGCTCACCCTATGCCACCAACAAGCCCATCGACATCAAACCGCGGGGAAGGAGAGGGTAGGCGCTTCTCTGAAACAGTTTCTGGAAAAGTGTGTCATTGAGTAGGCTTTAATCTGTTTGTTTTTTTGTAAATGTAGAGTAGATGCATTCTCTAAATAATTCTTTACACATAATTGGCATCCAGCTCTTTTTGCAAATGGCAAATTCAGATGATGTAAATGTGAATTTGAGACTGAAACTATCTCTCATGGCTTTGTGCGTGTACTTTTGTACCAGTTAATGAGGGTGTGTTTGGATTTAACTTTTTGTATGGCTTGTATGAATGTACACAAACTATGTGTTCTTTCTTATCAACACAAGCTGATAAATAGTTCCACCAGAACTGCCCTCCCAGCCGAGTGCCGCGTAAACGGCTGTTGCTTGGTGGCTGCTCTTGTTGTTAAGGTTCTGTGGTTCTGCTGTTTGCTCTGATAAACCCATAGTGTTGGCCAGAAGTGTGGGTAATTGTCTATATGTGCATGTTTTTGTCTCTTGGTGTTACAAGACGAAAGCAATTTTCCAGTCTTTTCAGAAAACAAGACTAAGAGGAAGTCAAATGGCAGATAAGCAGGTTCTATCAACTCATCATCTAAAGCACAGAGGACTACATGGGGTCAGGTGCGTTCACTAATGAACAGAGGGCAAGCGAATCAGCAGAGCACTCTCTGTCCATTAATGCACACAGAGATTTTAAGACCTTGTTAGTCCCATTTTCCTTTTCTGACCCACAAATATTCCACAGCCCCAGTAAGTGCTGTCATTGATGTTCTTTAATGTGTATCTGTTCAGTGTGCTCCCATAAATAATAACAGTTATGCATATACCTGCAAATTCAGGGTTTAGATGTAGCAATAATGGCTGGTGGCAGTTGCATATAGATACGGACAGAGGCCTGTCAATACTGACAGCCAGCCATCTGTGCTCCACTCCCTGAACCCTGGTTAAGTGCAATTTATATCACCATTTAATGGATGTGTTTGTCTGCATTGATACAGAATGGGGTTTGCAGAGAATTACCTTAAAAAAGACAAGAAAAAAGAGAAAGAGAAGTCAATCCTTAATGTTGACAATTACTGTGTTCTTTAAACCACCATGTTTAACATTGTCCTGTGAAGAAATACCACTAGGTGGCACTGATGTTTCTCTGAACTGCACAGACTAACCCTCAAGAGGACGCTATTGAGTCATATGCTCTCACAAATTCTTGCTTATGGAATGGCACTGAAAGTTTTTGACACATCTGACTTTTACGTTTAGGCAGTAATTTGACTAGTGTGAGTTGCCCCAAACAAACTTTTCAGCTGTCACTGACTTCCGTTTAAAAGTTGAGGATGGTGCAGCAACATCTTGCTGAATGAAACATATATTATATATTATTATTTCGGCTTCCTCCATCCATAAACAATTTGATTGAAAAATATGTAATAAATCAATTGAATAATGGAAAAACACAGAGATTTTCTTTTTGTCGTTTACAAAGTGTTGAATGCATAGCATTTTTGTTTGTTTTGTTTTTTACTTTAAGGTAAATTAATACTCTTGCTCTCTGCTTTGTTTGGACATTTCTGCCTCCAGAAAGGTTTGGATCTCTTTGTTATTTAGTTGAAGTTTTTAGATCTTTTGGATAGACTGAAGATCCGTTTATTTCAGAAATTAGGGCCTCTATAGTATTTGCTATGTCTAAGATACATGGCCCTAGTTAAATAAGGTAAAGCACAGGCTTGCTCATTCACATCACATCAACAGCTTAATGTAAAGGAGAAAATATCTGAGAGGAGGTTTCTTAAAAAGTCATATTTTGGTCCACCAATGATTTGGTAGCACTGCATCTGGTGAGGAGTCGGAAACGGGAGAGTATTTACTATGTCCTTGTTATCAAATGATCTGCTGAGCTTCAATGGAATATCAGCAGAGGAGGTGCTAACAGATACCTCCATATGACTGAAGAAAACTGTTACCTATTGTTTTTTGTTCTCTACCTGGAATGTGCAGACTATGCTAATAAGATTAGTTTAACCTCTTTCACCTCTTTGGCTCTCTGCCATTATACACTGACGGATTAGTTATGTCTTTTTAACGTAGTGTATATAACCTTGAACGTGTAACATATGTTCATCTTTTTAGCTGTGTAGCCTGATGAATGTACAGTTATCAACGCTCTCAGTGTGAAATCAGAGGCTTTGGATAGGTCAGATAGAGTAAAAGCCTCTAAAGTTTCTTAGGTTAGAACTCAGTCCTGTCATTCCAGAATATATAAGTGATGACACCATGTGAGAAATGTGATGTGCGGCGTATTTTCAGATGTTTTGCTCTTGAGCATTCTTTAAATTACATTTGCTCTGTATGCCATCTCATACATACAGCATGCATTGTGCTTGTGCTCTTTTTTCTTTCTTATGTGACATGAGGCCACAAACTTTTTATCACTGTGAATTGATGGGAACTGCTGTATGTTTATAAAAAGCATATCTCTTTTACGTAAAAGCCATACATCATTTGACATCATTTGACATCATTAGTGACGCTAATATGACCTTCTTCTGCAGCTAGTTGTTATACTAAGACACAGAAATGTGTCCACTACACTAATGTGTATGCTGTTGTGTTCGGACTTTTATCTCGTTTCTTGATAAGCTACTGTTGTCCTTGATATCCAGTCACACACGTCAGAAAAAATGGAAATACGGTGCTCTAAAAACTAGCTTCAATCCAAAATTATGCATATTTCTGATTATCTGATTATCAATAATACGTAGTTTTGCTGGTGTTATCGTTCTTGTTTGATATTCTTGATTAATGTGTGCCAGTTTGTTTTTTTTTCGCCTCTGATATACAAGCAGTGTCTTTGGCCTGCACTGGTGACTCACAGAGCTGACAGCTGACATACCTGTTCGCCTAGTTGAGAGCTAATGTTAGCTCTGACCCACACTAACATGTCTCTTTAAGGCTCCAAGTCCAAATGTAGATGCTTTAAATACCTAGGCCGACAATATTTATTTTTTTAGTTGTGTATTGGGTAGAGATGATCATTGCAAACTTGTATGTTTGAAGCACAAATATAAATACCGTAATAAATCTTTTGAAAATGTAATGTTGATCATTTTGGGCAAAAGAGATATTTCGGTCCTGTGTAAAATAGATATAATTATTTATTTTTTATTTACACCACTCTGCAAATGCTGCCTTTCAAAGTCTCCACATCATCGGAATGTTAAGTGTTGGTTTAAGGTTACTTTGGCTGCCGGGTGACTGACATCTGGGCCAGTTCTTAGGATTTCTTCAGGATTGAAGTCCCACCCCTTACAGAATTACTACTACCAAAACAACCCTCCCACATAGGCATACTTGAGCAGCAGTTTGGGGAAACAGGTACTGAAAGAGACGCACGCATTGAGACTGAGACGGCGACAGTGTCTCAGAAAGACTGAACGAGATAGACGGAGGAAAGGGGGAGGGGAGAAAAGGTCTTCGAGTCAGGAAAAAAACCCAAACACAACGCTCGGAAAGAGAAAGGCAGGGGAGCAGAGTTAGTGCATGGCTGGATTAGGAAAGAGGAAGATCACATGCTGCTCTGGCATGAAAGATAAGTGCAAGTGAGTGAGAGGGAGAGCAGAATAACAAACCACCTACAGTTAAATGATCGGCGCTGTAAGAGAAGCAGCACAGCAGAATATGGTGGAATAAAAGGAGTTTGGTCTTTATTGGCTCTACAAACCTCTTCTCTGGACTGGAGGAAGGACATTGCCATCTGATCACTTGGACCCGTGAGAACTATTTTCTGATCAAAGTGGAAGCCAGCCAGTGGCTTCCAGGGTTGTGTCTGTGTGCGGGTCTACATGTGTGTGCGGACTGGACATATGTTGTACTTGTGGATGTTGGATGAAAGGCTAGACCATGAGTATTATTCTTAAGCCACGGTCACGCTCAACCAGCTCATTGAGGAACGCGGAGGGAATATGGTAAATATCCATCAAACTTTGTCGCTCTTACAACATTACATTTTCAATTGTGTATCCATCTCCTGTTTATTTCTTTGGAAAATGATTTCCCTCTGTATCACCGGCACACTTCCAAGACTTTTCTGTCTGTTGTTTGTCACAGTCTGTGCGGTGTGCTCTGTCTGTGTGCGTCTCCCTGCTGCCGACTCAATGCAACTAATTCATTCCTATTAAATCAGTGGGTTTGTTCATAAATAGGATATCATAGGAGACCCTTCACTTAACGGGGGGAATTGAGATTCTAAATATTTCTTGCAACAGTGTACTGAATAAGACTTAGATTAGTTTTACTTAGTTAGTTTTATGTTACAGTCTATCTGTGTTTTTTCAACAGCAGACCCTCAAGGTTTAGAAACACTGGGGAATGTGTTCCGTCCCATAATATATCTTCCTTTGTGAACATGGTTACAATTGAATTCAAGATGCAGAATGCATTGCCAGGGGCACAACTTGCCCTGCCCTTCACTACTTTTATGCTTCCCCCTCCTGTTTCAGCATGTCTTTGCCTCTCTTATTTGCAAATGCACAATGTGTAATTTGAAACTTGATGTTTTTCATATTCATATTTGTTTGTTTATGCATTTAGCAGGAAAGCATAAACTTTTTACATATTGTTATTGGTTTAGGTGTGAATTAGCCTGAGTGACTCTGGTTAAATATTCAAGGTCCTTAAAGTGGTAGTATCCAATACTATTTGCTCTTTGTCAGACCAGACCTCCCTGCAGGGATTCCATGTTGCCTTATTAATGATCTATTTAATTTCTCTAGCAGGAAATTACCCTCGTGCGAAACGAGGACATAGCCATTTGTTTGTTCATAGTTGTGAGTTTCGGAAACCAGAGATAGGAAAAGTGTAAAAACCCAAAGTGTGAGCATGCCTGAAACAGGGTGCACAATGTTGCTTTTATCTCATTAAGATCTGAAGATCTGGCAGTGTTTGGTTTGTATGAGCCATCTTTTTGAATGGCTACCAAAAGCAGTACTCAGCTGGACAAGGCATACCGCCTCCTCCATCTGCTGTGCCCTCCTTTCTGCTGTTATTTTCTGTAAGATGAAGCCTTCTTTCACTAAACCATTTTCGCTGCTTTGTCTCACATGATGAGAATGACAGTGGATCTGCAGATCTGCAGTGGTTTTCTGATAATTACTCTCACACAAACCTGTACAGGTGTTAGGGTTATGATTGCAATCTTTCCTGCACAAATCTCCATGGGCATCTATGTGTTTTAAGACAGTTTTGTAGATGTAGTTTAAGATGTGACCTCTCCTAGCCTATACAAATACAAACAGACCCCTCACCACCTAACTCTGCAGATTAAGGTGTGTGTACTCACACTTTTGGTGTCCATCAAGGTGTTGGAAGAGTAAACATGGCTCAAGTTTTTCGAGTGGTAATAAATTAGTATATGGGAAGTAAAAGAAACTGATGTTTCTAAAAAGCCAGGCTCTGAACCTCATTTCCTACGCAGTTTCATGTCAGATGTGATAAAGAAGGAAAAAGTGGGGAATGTGTGACATTGAACTTGACTGTTTGGATCTGGCCTTTGTCAGTCCCACGCTAGGCAGGAAATGTTGAGGGTTACATGTCTGGCCTGATGGTGTTGGATTTCTCTGATATAATATATAGTCATAAGATGATGAACATGACTGAAGATAGGTTGGACCTTGTGTGTATATTGGTCCAGTGGAGGCTGGCTTTGCTTTGGACAATGAAAGCCAAGATGACGCCACATTGCCATGGTGACCTCTTTGTGTGTGTCATGATTGACTGAGTTTCCTGAATGGTGCAGTAACCAGCAGCCTCTAAAAGAGTGTCACAGCTAACGTAAAGGATTCTCATCACTTATACCTGACAGGTTCTTGAGAAAAAGGACGAAAAAAACCAAGAGAGGAACCCTGAAGATGTAATTTCACCAACAAACCTTGGTAATATACTGTAACCTAGACGCTCAGTAAAGACTTGTCTTTGCTCATGCTGACCTTCAACATAGTTAAGTCTTCCCAGTAAATGCCAAATTTGTTATATCTAAATTTACAAGGCAAGAAGGCATAAGATTAGCATGCCAAAGAGATGCAAATCCAGGGTACCAGGGTTACAGTCATTTCACTCTGCCTTTAAGTGTATTAGTGGGGGTTCTTACACTCCTGTGAATAAGTGCAAGGCTGTTAGAAGAGAAAGTGTTGCGGTTATCAGCAAGTAGTCAGTCACTTATCTGCTTGACAGTTTCGTCCTCTGTCTGCCTCCCGTGTAACATCAGCAGAAGATTGCTGCTGTCCGCAGACTATTCATGAAAGATAGCGAGGAAGGTGCTGAGAAGCTGGAGATGACTATGTTTGTGAAGTAACATTTTGGATTGGTAACCCAGACATGTAAGATATAAAACTGAACTACTTCACCCTAAGAGCGCTGCAATATTAGCTTTACTTTGTTTTCGTGACCAGTCAAAGAAAAAATATTATAGAAACATTGTGACCCCCAAATGAATATCCTCAGAATCTTTTGACAGATGCCTTGCAGTATAAATGTAAGTCCACCATGAGACAAGTAAGCATTTAATGCCATAATTGAATACAACTTTCACAATGAGTTGCATTTTAAAGCAAACTGGGCATGATAAATATTATTGTTTGTGAACAGACTCTTGCAAGTTATGCATTTGTGTAATGAGATTAATTTATTTGCTTATTTTGTGATTTCTCAGCGGAATATATACAGAAAATGTAACAAAGCATTTGAAATCAAATTACCTTTTAATAGAGGGGTCTAAACAGTTTTAGTTGATTCAGTTCATGGTCACAACTACTCAAAAACCTAGTCAAATTTCAACTGAACTCACTAGCATTTTATAACCTACGGTTCTCATGACTTCTTTCTTAATACATATCTTGCAGATTTGCATTTATTCTGGATAATATAATATAGTAATTTCCTTACATTAAGGAAATGACCTGCTTTTGTTTGGTTATACAGACTCACAGCCATACAGCCCTCACACATCTCTCCTTGTCCTTCCTTTGCTTCATGCCTCCCTCTGTGTCCTCCCCGCTTTTTAAAATAAGTCGAGTGTCGTCTTCCCTCTGTCTCTTACATCATGCAGCTCTGTTCTAACCCATGTTAATACTCTTGCTTTCTAAACACAAGGGCGACTTCAGGTTTTTGTGATTTATTTTTAAATATGGCCTCAGCTTTATCTCACTTTGAGCTACAGTTAAAATAATCGTCTCTCATTGTGCTTTTGAACATCATATTTGTATTTCTTGAAATGTCTTTTTCAGTGGACATGAATGTTTGAAAGCACAGCTTCAAATTCCCCAACTCTGCTGATTATTTATCAAAGACACTTGCAGTTTGACCTTTTTCTAACACCGTTGTCACGTCAGCTTCTGTGATGTTTATAACTGCTCAACTGACACAAGGTTGAAAATGAATCAGTGAACAGTGTCAGATCTTATTTGTTAGATAGAAGAGAGCCATAAACAATGGATGAAAAATAAAGCAGATGAAGACAGAGAGAAAGAAAATAAAGGTTAAATAAATGTATGTCCTTCTGTGGGAGACACAATAATTATTTCTAACATCTCCTAGTTCAGGGCTGTAGGTCATTTTTAGTCACATGGAAATAAGATCAGGAGCAGTTTCTGATGTAAAGTCTCTAAAATTGTTTGGAAACGTCATGACAATTTTATGTTTACATAAAATACATAGTATATCCACAAATAGGCTTTGTCAAGTCTAGCCTTTTATCATTCTTTTCAACCACGTATTTGAGTTGCTTTTGCCAGTTAGCTATGACTTGGTTATGCTTATTTTCATTTTTAGCCTACTTTCTTCCAAACAGAGTAATTCTACTTGTTTTTTTGCCAATCACATACCAGTTCTGGATCACTAGTTTTTCTGGTAAACTGCAATTTCTGTAGTCGCAGCTTTCATTTAGAATGAATACTGTTTTAGGGCAAGGTTTGGAAAAAGTCCAGATGGTGTCACAGTGCTGTCAGTGCTGGTGCAATGCTTTGGTAATCTTGCAACAGAGATTATTCATCATTCACAAGGAGGGTGTGTTTGACCCCCGCACACACACACACACACAAACACTGTATCATGTGGCAAAGGTTTAGGTGAGACTCAACGCAGCCTGTGACGTCAGAATGAGAGCGATGGTGAATCAGCTGATGAAGATGTGTCTAGGTGTTAAGTTTGGATTCCTTCTCTCTGCCTTTGTCTACTTTGTCCTGATCGCGTACCGGATACCTGTTACAATGCTCCCTTACCAGACAGAGAATCTGAAAAACAGACTAACATTTGACAGTGTGTATATTTGGAGAGATAAGAGGCTGTGGTCTGGGATTGTCTTTGAGTGTATGACCGAAGATACGACCAAATGATGATCTGATCTGGGACTAAAGAGAGTCAGAGGGTGGTGTGTAACAGATTACACGAGTGCAACTTTGGACAAACATTTTCGGTCAAGTCATTTTGATGATTTTGTGTGTGTGTGTATTTGTCAAAGAGCTAGTTAGGTAGGAGGACAAGGACAATACTGTTGCCCTTTCCCCAGGCTGACAGCCAAACTATCCCGTTCCACAGCCAAAGGACTCTCGCATAGCTGGTGAGATTACAGAAAGATAGCAAATCTTTTAACACATTAATTGCTCTGCAAACCATGCTTGGCATGTCCTGTGTATAAATATAGACATTGAGAAACTTGGATACACAAGGAAAACATGTTTCTGATGTGGGAATTGCAGTACATATTATAGATGTATTCTTTTCGAATTTTCTTCTCCTTCAGGAATTTTTCTTGAGAGATTGGGTGGTTTAAAAACAAAACGAACTAATCAGGATGGAAAATGACTGGAAAACCATTGAACTGTTGTCAGAAAAAACCTCTTCTCCAGTTTCTCCCGCCAGCTCGATTGTTTCACTTAACGAAAAGGGGCCACAAAAAAATAACAAAGAAATGTATTGGTGGTTTGTTATTGTTATTGTTTTCTACATCTGGACAGACCCAGCATGCTCTGTATGTCCAGATGAGAAATTTCGTCAGCTCACATCATGACTTTCTTCCATTGTTTGGACATATGATGACTTCTTCCACTTCGCACACCCCCTGTGTACACAACGAAAATAGCCAGACTGTCTTAACACAATGGCCATCTGTAGAATAGGTGAGGTACTCTGAGGAAAACATGCAAGGACGGGAGGGGGGGGCGGTACATACACAGGGGAGTTTTTGGTTTTCTTGAGACACGTATCGCTTTTCAGGGGCAGCAGGGTTCATTTTGCTCGTGTTCATACACACGAATACACAAACAAAGCAGCGAGAAAACACTGATGAGCAGAGTGCCCCATTCTGATTAAAGCTTGTTCCAGTTAGTTGGATTAAACTTGTCGCTGTTTCCATAGCGAAGATGGTGAGGATGATGACAATGATGATGATGATGATGAGGGAGATATCATTAGGTGTGTGTCGCGCGTCGCGCTGAGGGGAATCCCATGCTGACCTTAGCATTCACACCATACCGGATTATGGGATTGCATGCTAGCCCTGACAATGAGGCAGATATCCCTTGAGACATGCATTAGTCATCATCTTTGTGAACACTCGCCACGGAGACTAAGGAGCTCATCATGACATCCCAGTGGGAATTGGTGTCACTGGTTTAGAAAGGCTACTCAGCTCTGAGTCAGTAGCATTACTAGAGCAGAGGTATTCCTTGTGACAGTTTGATAAAATCATGAATCATATTTCTAGTGGTTATATATAGATTACTTTGGAAAGTGCAGTAAATTTGATTTTTTTCCGTTTGCAAATTTGCCAGTAATTATCATCACCAACAGAATAAGTGACTGGATGATTATCACATTAATCAATCAAAATGACGAGTAGTTTGACAAGTACAAATAGTAAGTGATACGTTTGGAGCATTTTACTAGCATTCACTTGTTTTTGTTTTGTTTTTTTTCATTTCATGGCTTGCAAGCATGGGGCTATAACGTTCAACTTCAACCATGGTCACTATATCATTAGTTTTGTCTTTTCTCTGACTTGTTGGATGTTAACACTGCGAAGGTTAAAGTCTTTATAAAATTCCTTCTAAGAACACTGAATTCCTCCACGTTATCAGGTCCTGATCTGTCTCCCTCTCCTTCTGTTTCCTTATACAGTTTCGATGTGGACAATGGCACGTCATCAGGTCGAAGCCCCCTGGACCCGATGGCCAGTCCAGGCTCAGGCCTCATCCTACAGGCCAATTTTGTCCACAGCCAGCGGAGAGAGTCATTCCTCTACCGCTCTGATAGTGACTACGACCTCTCCCCCAAGTCTATGTCAAGAAATTCCTCCATTGCCAGTGACATGTAAGTGCACAAAGGCCTTTTAGTTACACCTAAACACACATGCAGTGCGCCACATGCCTACCTTATTTTTTGATGAATAGGGTCAGTCATGCATGGCCATCTCGTTGTGTTGGATAACATATTTTCTTAACCGTATCCATTAGACTGAGTATGGTGATCAGTAACCTGTTTGTTCACAATTATTGTTCCTGTGTATGTGGTATGTGGTCTGATTTCTATATTACGTTTCAGAAGAATAGAAGATAACATAATTTTGTCTTCACAGTAGTTCCCATAATTTCCCATTACCTCCAAGATGCAAGATAATACATTCCAGACATGTTATAAACAGAAAAATGAAATGTTTCTCTTAATAGACATTTAAGCTTTGGAGCGTATCTTTTTCAACATTTGCGGCTGCCTCTTTGTGCAACAGAAATTAAAGATATGGACTGAAAACAGTCAGTTAAGCTCATATGCATGTTTTGGATAGTTTGATGAAACCAGTGACCTGGAGAGACTTTATTGTCAATAATTATGAAATGCAAATTGCAGTAGAGAAAGAGTTGGAGCAAACACGTGACTAAAATTAAGTGCATCTGAGATACTGAAATGAATTGGGCGAACAACTCCCTACTGACCTTCGCTGGTGAAATGCAATCTTGTCTTGTCAAATGTTAACATGATATATGTGAACCTGCATCTAATATAATTTTCACTCTTTGTTTCTGTCAGCCATGGTGACGATATGATTGTAACACCATTTGCACAGGTAAGCAGCCTATATAGGGTACTCTTAATGTTGTTTGTTCTTTTGATCTGACAGTTACCTCATAATGTAGTGGCAATCTTTTATTTCCCCCTTAGGTTCTTGCAAGTTTAAGAACTGTAAGAAACAACTTTGGTGCATTAACTAACCTACAGCAAGACAGGGCATCTAACAAGTAAGTCAAGTTGCTGATCTTTGCTTCTTTTTTTCATTCAAAGTATGCTTGATATAGGAAAATAAAGGCGCTCATTTATACATTAAATCCAGTTGAATTTCTCCTGCTTGCATTCTTTGTAAATACTTGTTTTGTTCCAATGGAAAGAGGGATCATTACAATGACAGTATTCCTTAGTAATTCACATCCTGATTCTGCTTGCTTGTGTGAATTGCTCCCCCATTGCCTGGCTGTGCCTGCCCTCTGCTGTTACTATACAGTATTGTACCCAATATGTTTCCAGTTGTATGCTTGCTGCCCCTAGCTACAATCCTTAATATGCAGTATGTTCCTAAATAAACCTGGGGGCACAGTGCGCCTATAGTGCCAAGAATGATCAGAGTTTCCAGTTAACAGATTTTCAGTTAGATTAGTGATGCACTGATTTGGAGTGAAATGTCTCAGTGTGTGTGTTCATTTCCCCCATGACAGGAGATCACCAATGTGTAACCCACCTCCCATCACCAAGACTACCTTCACAGGTATGTTCACCAAAACGGGGCAGGGCAGCTTGCATCTGCTCATTACGTCATTTTGTTTGTGTATCTGTGAGTAGATTTCTTTCATCAGTGAAACAGAAACTGATACGTTCTTTGCATCCTCATCATTAAGTAAATGTTTGATAAATGCTTCACGGTGCATTACATGTTCTTATGCAGTTTCAAGTTTCTCTTGATATATTTGTACACGACCAAAACTTTTTTTTTGTTTGCCTGATCGCAACTGGAGGGAACACATTAAGGCTAGTTTGGAGCTAGATCACGCAACATATAATATCGGAATGAATTGAAATTAAGTAATTTAGCAATTACATAAAGTCTCAATTTGAAAAGCTATTGTCTTTACATACCAAAAAATACACCTGTATATATGTTTGCACAATATTTTGATTAAATAAAACTGTTTATTACATATGAACTGCTTGTAAATTACGTGTATAACAGGAGGTAAGGTGTTGCTGCACTGTAGGTGTTAGTGGTTGTTAATACTTTCCCTATAAAGGAATAGTGCTTCAGGATATTCTGACACAGTTGGTGAAAAAAACAACAACATTATTTAGCTTTTTTCACTAGAACACAGTTACAGCCACTGATCAGCGTTGGTAGATCAGGCAGTTTTTCCCATACAGAACATGTCACAGACAGTACCGGATGGCTAGAATAGATTTGACCTTGCAGTCAGTGGCAGTATCAGTGTCTGTTACCAAGCTATTGTTAGCAGGAGCAAGCACATAACCTTCAGGTTTAATGAATATTTTTTCTTTTCGTGGTTTAGAGGAAGGATCGTTACATGGTTACCCATGAAATCATAGAAACACACAAATACTGTACACTAAAAAAAGAGAACAAACAAAAATATATATGTTTAAACGGAAAGTTATTTGCACCTGAGGAACATTGTTCCAGACAATCAACCTGAGAGTCACATTCCCGGTTCATAACCTATTTATATACAATAACCTGATGACATTGTGCTATATTTAGAGCACAATCATACTGGCACATAGTCATTATGGCCACTGCCATAAAGAGGTGACAGCTGTGAGTCATGAGCACCATTATATCAGAGTATTGACTGATTCCTGTAATGCGAAGGTTTACTGAGTTTGCAACAAGTAATCTTGGAAAAAATAATCAATAAAGGATTATCATTGGCACGGATTAATAGATATATCAATAGTAAGATGTTGCTCAATGATAGTAATGTTTAGTTATTTAGGGACCATGATCTTTTCTCTACCTGTCTCTTCAATTTTAGCTTCTTTTTCCTTTGATAATGGATTTTTCCATCACTGACTTTCATTTTATTTGTTGAAAAAAACAAGCTTTTTCATTATCATTCCACTTGTGATCTGCAAGCTTAATTTGATGCACACAATATTCTTAAACAATCAATATCACATATCTTCAAGTCATAATGGTATGACTTTAGCTGTTCTTAGAGGCTCCCAAGTGGGAGTTTATGAAGTGAAGCACTATCAAAATGCAACATGTTATACTTTCAAAAGATCCATATCTTCCAATATTGTTAATTTTACCTCTAAAAAGAAAAACTTGTTTGATAGTTGTTTAATAGTTTATATGGTCACCTTATGAAGCGTTTGGTAGCTTATTTTGTACAAATTCATTCTCTCCATGCTTTTCCTGTCTGTGTCTTTGCGCCTTTTTTCTTTCTCCTCCTCCACATCTTCTTTTTTGTTTTCCCCGTTTACGGTCCAACTTCACAGTGAAGCTGTTCCGGTACATAGTTTGGCTGCAGCCCTGAGTCTGTGCAGCAGAGTGGCCTCTCTGAGCGCCAGTGTCTGATGTCGCACTAAGCATGAGAAGAATGTCATTGACGTCAGCGCAGTTGCTGTCAGAAAGAGTAGCACCCCGGCTAGTGGCTCCACATCAGGGAGAGAGACAGAAAATACAGAAAGGGAAATGGAGAAAATGGACAATTTAATCTGGCGGGAGGATGATCAGTGGAGGAAACAAATAGTATTGCAGAAGAAGCAGATTCATTGAAGGAGGGAGAAAGATTGTGATGATGAAACTGGAGAGGTGGCCATTTATTTTGAATGTGACATGACAAAACAGGCTTAGAAATGATCAGCAGTGGCCAAGATGGTGTACAACAGTTTAACAAAGAGACCAACTTTACATTGTTAGGGATATACAGGAACAGAAAGAAAACTATACATATACTTAAACTTATTAGATACTTAAAAAGGCTCCATTGGAGAGACGAGAAGATTTTTAAATGCTGCATTTACATTGTAAAATTAACATTAGACTGAAACATATTTTTACAAAGTAAGCATACAGTAAATGCCTCATAGAATGTTAAGGTGCTATGACAACAAATTATTTGTTTTACTCCATGTTACCGAAATGCTGCTGAAGTAAACCTCTTTCCCCTTGAGGTCACATGGAATTAAAATACTGTGCTTTCCAAAATTGGTCAAAGCATTAACATTAATTGTGGTCTGACAAGGTGACATTTTGCGTTAACATTGTCTGACTTTGGGAGAAGCATGTTCCCAGTTTTAAATTAAAAGAGTACCATCCCATGGGCTTGAGACTCCGCCATCGTTAATTTCTTGTCAACCACCTCTCTGTTTTGATGTTGTTTGTATGCTAAGCACATATTAGCATGCATGCACAGACGAGGGAGCCCCCAGCCCTAGCTCGTCTCTAATAATCCAGTCCATGTTTTGCCAGTCTCCCTTTCCCATCCACAGTGCAGTCCTCTCAGGCTTTAGGTACAGCTTGGGGAGAGCAGCACGTTTGGCTACCAGGGACGCTGAAGCAACAGCAGCCCACCCCCTATATACACACAGCATCTATAGGATAGACTGGCGCGCACCCAGCACTGGATTATACCCCTTACATCCTGGATACATGGATGCTTTTATTGGCAGAGGGGCTAAGAAGACAAAATCATGATATGTTATGATTAGCCTTTCATCTGGTGTGAGTGTGCATGTGTACGCATGTGTGTTTCCATTTGGCTTCCGAATGTGAGAAATGTCGTGTTTTCTGACCATGTCGAGATGGAGTGACCAGTCCCGTGCAGGGTCTTTGCTGGACAGCACAACTGACCGGTTCTAAGCCGCTCACGTGATCTTCCGCCATCCCTCACTCCACTCCATCCTTTATCTAGCAGACATGGGCCTGCTAAGCAGACTGTTGTTCATCTTGCTACATGACTGGAATTACACCTCTTTTAGGAATGACAGACTACACCTAAGGAAGTCTCTGCCTGTGTTAAGTGTGCTGTGTATGGGGCTCACCGAGTAACTGTGTTTGTGGGAAATTTCAGATTTTCTGCTGTTGCTCCACTTGCTCCATGTTTTTTTCTGTTGCGACCCCCTTGCTCTCAACAAACATCTGGACCTACAGAACTGTCACACTGTGACTGTCCTTCATCCTCTACTGCCATTTTTCCAAGGGATTTTATCCGGCGGAACATTGAAGAAAGAATCCAGAATTATAGAACTACCCTGACGGTTGGCGGTGGGAACAGTGATCTTGCTCCACCTGACCAGGGACTGCCCCTTTGTTGGGATAAAGGACAATAAGGCCCTACTCCCAGGCCCCCTCACAGCTGGCTCACCTGTTCAGTATGAAGAGTCACCCATGCGTTTACTCGGGGTATCCCAGCTTAGCTGTTTGTGGGGTGGGAAACCCCGGGCCTGGACCGTCCACTAGCTCTCTGAAGCGGGCCCTTACTGACCCCTTGCCCTCCTGTCTCGCCCCCGCAGAGGAGGCCTACCAGAAACTGGCCACAGAGACCCTGGAGGAGCTGGACTGGTGCCTGGACCAGCTGGAGACACTTCAGACGAGACACTCAGTCAGTGAAATGGCATCCAACAAGGTGAGAGGAACCAGATAGTTTACACTAAAACTCTTACCTTTCAGCGGTTTTGCTCATGCTTCAGGCTTTGTTTTGTTTTCTCTGAACTTGCAATGCAAAATTACTGGACTCAGTTATTCAGTTAAGCAGTTTTTGTTTTGCTTGGATCTGAATTATAATCTAGTGTAGTGCTTATGGTGTAGAAAACGCATCACAAAAACATTTCACATTTACAAATTATTTTAGCATCTGTAAAACCTTCCCCAGGGATACCATAATCTGATATTCTCTATAATAGGTTTTAGATGCTTCTGATTGATGCATCTCTCCCTGTTTTCATCACTGTTTTTATCAGGATAATGTTGGTGTTGATAACAGGAGGCGCCAGTACATCAAAGTCTGTTGATTCAATTGATTGCAATATTTCGGATGACATTAAGTAAACAGCATCTCCTCTGCGTGCGTACTTCCTTTTAATTTTTCAAGTGTTTATCAATCCATAGTACTTGGTGACAAGCTTCTGTGAGTTGCACTTATATTTTTGAGCTCTTAATTCTCAGAGCATCCATTCGGCTGTCGTTGTATTATGGATCTATGTTTGCAACAGCATCGTCATGCAGACAGAGTGTTTAGGTATGAGCATGCTCAGTCGGCTGTGGTGTATGTGTGTGCGTGAGTTTGAAGGGTGGCTGCTGTGCCACTCTGAATGCTGATCAGTTTTGGGCTGATGTCACAGACTGTGATGTCACGAGAAGAGGGATGGACCTTGAAGAGAGGCAGGGAGAACGGGCAGACAAAGGGCTTACTCAGATGCACGTGTTCCTCTCTAATGTTAGCACAGTCCAACATATGAGCTGGATGTCTTCTTCACTCATACATGAAAAGATAAAATCATACATTGGTAAACTGCTACATGCTCATCATTTCCCACCAGCACAGCTATCTGTGGTTGTCTTGGCAACAGCCACCGGCCCAGCCGCACACGTAGCTACCACTAGGTCATTTTTGTGATTTAGGTGATTTTATCAGTGCTCAACGTAGCCCCTAATTCATCCATGAAAGGAAAGCCCATGCCCCTTTTGTTAAAACTATTGCAGCAAAACCAACACCTCCCATTCTGCATAATAATTGAGAATATTCACTGTATGAGAACATTGCCATTCACACATATTTAATGTGGATGTAGTTTTCTAGTTCTCTCACACAGTAGCTACAACGCAAACTGTGTGTTTTTAGTTTGATTTGGGAACCGTGTCTTTTGGGTCAAGAATTCCACTGCTGACTTATGTGAAGTTGCCAGTTTGGTTTCCACCAGGGTGAAAGTCTCTGCTCGAAGAGCAGTGTTTGCTGGTCAAGTTGGAGTAACTGGTTGCCTGAAGATGTGAGCACTTATACAGGTTGCTCTGGAGAGCAAAGAAGGGAGTTGGACATTCTGACCCTCTTGTGGACAGAAAAGTGCTTTACAGTTATCTCTGTCCCATCTGTTTTGGTTGTATCGTCATCTGATCTGTTTATTCTTGGCTTTTGTTACGCTCAATCATCTTGACGCTGTCATTTTTGAAGGTGCAATTTGGTGGCAATGCGTACATGCACAGCAATTTTTTTTTAGAGTTAATTAACTTCCTGAGACCCTGTGTCCTCATAAGTGGACGTTGCATTTTTGTCTCTCTTTACCATGATACTTCTTTTTTTCTCCCAGCTTTGACCTCTTGGCTTCATAGCAGATGCTATCAGACACTGTTTGAAATCTAAAGTAAAATGGTTTTATACATTTCCATCCAATCATGTTCTTATTGTGTAATAGAAAAAATGTAAATAAGTCAATGGGACTGTCAGAACAAAATTGTAAAAACATTTAATTAAATATGTATCTCATGTATCTTTAAAAAAAAAGCTAAAATGCATGCCAAATAAAAGCTCGGGTCTCAGGAGGTTAAGATCATTCAGAGTCTGCATTCAGAGTTTGTAGTTTGGATATCCTAATTTCTATTCTTTTGACAGAGATTTAGCTTATTGGAGAAGCTTGATGTGCCTCTTGTAAAGCAGCTGTGTGTGTTGCAAGATGCTGTATAAAGTGGTTTTTATCTTCGATTGGGATTAAATGCAAAAGCAAGTACAGCTTTATTCAGTTATTGCTTACTGCAAATGTGACATTTTCAAGTATAATGCATCAGGAAACACTGCTCAACCGGCCATTTTTATTCAGAGCACGGTATCAATCAGCTTAACTTCAGTACACTGTTGCTTTACAAATATAGCTGATTTCATACATGTGACATCAGACATGCTTTTCAGCTGAGGAGTAATTGACTGGAGCACCTCAGCTGGCTGGAACAAAGTTTACTCATTTTTGGCATTTTCTGGTAATTGGGGCCCAGGAAGGCAACACAGTAAAAAATAATTTGTTTTTTAAGGAGTATCCTAAATTCTGTGAGGCATCATTGTTATTATTAGTTTTACCAGAAGGGTTTTCCATCTTAGCAAAGTTCATATCCCCATATTTAGTTGAATTTTTATTGTTCTTCCGGCTTATGAAAGCGATAGAACTTGAGCTGAAACACATGCAAGTTTTGTCTTAGCATTTGTTCCATAACCATATCATATATAGTACCGGTGTCTTACCCCTCAGTAGTACATATAGTTCATTCTGGTCTCATTTATGGATTTCCTTGTCAAGATGATGAATAGACTTGGACTTATTTCTCACAGTAGGCTGTTTGTTCATTGATAACAGGAGCTGCAATTTTCTGTATTGTGACGAGTGGGAGTGTCTCCTGCTAGAATAAACTCTAAATGTGAGGGGCAGCGGGGAATCTTGAGATCTGGAGGTGTTGCAGGCTATATTCGGCAGAAAAAGGATATTTTTGGTCACTCCACTGAGGAACAAATTACACACTAGTCACAGCAAAGCTAGGTGTGACACTTTCCAATTTTTACCCAATAGTTGTGTTCACACATTCTGACTAAGCTCTTGACTATTTTGTGTGACAGGGAGAGACTGTGTGTATCAGAGGGGGGCTTTGGTGCATTGTTTTTGTGTTTATTCTCCAGTTGTGAGTGAATTGTGTGAGTATCTCAGTGTGAGTGGGCTTGTGCCGGCCCGCTTGGCTCCGAGTCAATCAAAGCCAGTGCATCTCAGCTAGTCGGTGGTCTCATTTGCTCCAGTGTAGCTGTAAATTACTCCCAGTGCCAGGCTGGTTGTGGAGGTGGGGTGTAAAGTAAGCAGAGACAGCTTTGGTCCCTTTTCAATCCTTGTAACCACTGGACTGTCACAGAAAGTCAACACAAACATGCACTCACAAAGGTAAACAAACAAAGCAAAAATACATTTTCCTCAAAGAACAGTGTACATGTTCATGGAATGGACAAGTTTGTTATCAAATTGAAGAAATAAGCATTGTTTTTAATCTAAAAGTCGGCCATTCATGGCTTTGTTCAATTTTGTACCTTTTTATTGCTGTGCTGCCTCAGTATCAGCTTTATAAAAACTGTAAACTGACCATGTGCAGATATGGTTGCTCCATACAGAATCTAATAACGTGGTAGATCAGTTATATAGGACAGCAACACACTTATAACTTGATCTTCATCCTGATCTGTAAAAAAAAATCTAATAATCATTACAGCTAAGTCATCTCTTATCGTTGATGGTTTACACACCATTTCACCAGAATGAACTGTAAACAAGAGCTTACTCTGTCCCCTTGGAGATTTCCAAGCTTAAGCCAAGTCATTTGGATTCATAATGCACGACTGTTGAAACTTTCAATATTTACCTTTTTACATATCTTAAACAAATCAAGATACATCTTTGCTCAAAATAATAGTTGCCTAAATTAGTATATTTTTTGTATGTATAAAGTTGAATGTACAATTTAACTACTATTGAGTATCAGTATTAAAAACGCAATATTGTTCTGTCATTGGTGTCAATTAGCTTTCTACTTTTTTTGTGACTAGTTCCTTGCACTGGATAAATGGGTTTATTTAAATACTTAAATGGCCCATTTCCATACAAATGTGGCAGAAGAGTTTGTTGGCATGTACCCCAGTCTAGAAGATGATGTTTACCCAGAAAAAGGGATGCATATAGATAACTACATGACTGCTGGAGAATTTTGATATATTCTTTTAAGTATTATTCATATTCACACTCTTGCATTTTGTTTATTTATTTAATAATGCTTTTATTCCGCTACTGCTGAAAATTAAATCCTATCCCTTAATAAGGGGTCATCCCTTCTTTTCATCTGTAGCGACGGCCTCTTGAGTTAAGTGACAAACATAGCAGGCTGTGTGGACAAACAGTGCTTTGAGTTTCTGTCCTACTGAGCCCACTTCAGATAACTGTGACGCTCATTCTTTTTGTAAGATTAATGTGCTTTTTTATGTATTTATATCATCCCATCAGTGATGTTAGCATGACTCATTTCCCATTGATGGTGAGGTGGAAGGTGACCTCAGTTTTTCTGTGTTGTATCATGTTGGATGAAGTAACATGTGCTTTTAATTCAGACTGTGCAAAAGGTGAGGGAGGGCAACATGTAAACACATGCACACATACTATTACCTATTACGTCCTTTATAAATTCAGTCTGGATCGTGTATACAAAGCACATGTACTGCAAACACACATGCACAAAATAACACCCCACTGCTCTGCAGGAATTAAAGGAAAGGAAAGGGAAGGGGGGCATTTTTCCACTGACTTCAACAATGGCCAATCAAGCAGCAGGTAGCCTAAAGTCTGCTCCCTTCCAACCAATTAGAGGTGATGATGAGCTCACACTTTTCTCCTCTCCGAGTCCTGATTTGCTAATGTTGTTTGACATAGTGAGAGAGGCAGTCTGTGCTCTTCACATGGGAGCATGTGTCATACACACAGAAGCGGGCAGCCAGTCCCGTTTGGGAGGAGTTGACAGGAAGATTTCTGCTGTCCTGTTGCTTTGGCATATACCAAGCTTCCGTACCATCATCAATTATTCAAAGAGTCAGCAGTGTGTCCTTAAAAATCTGTGTGTGTGTGTGTGTGCGTGCGCGGTGTGTTTAATTGTGAACGGTCACAATATGCTCGCTTTGGATCTTTTGGGAGGCTCTGTCCTGCTGCTCTTCCTTTCTTCTTTGTGGGGCATCAGTACTCGTGAGTGGATGTTCGCAGGACAAGAAAATGGAGCTTCATTTATGGACCTTGTGCGACCGATTTACGCTGAAACCAGCTTTGTAGACTGCTCAGGTTGAGGTCTTTTACTGAAAAGAAGAGAGGACAGTTTTTTTGTTTTACAAGCTGTTTTGCGCTTTCAACCGCTCAACAATCCATAAGCCTATAGCGCTTACCCTTCTTTTTCTGGATATACTTTGTTGATTTGTCAAAATGCCTGAAGCAAATTATCTGCTCTCTGTGTCGTGGGGATATATAAAGGTAAGCGTAGATCGCATGTTGATGTGTTTCCGTGTGCTCCGTTCTTCTTTGAATGAAAGTAGGTTTTGTAATTCAGGTTTGTCCTTGATCAGATTTGGATGCATCTCTAGATTAACTCAAATTTTCTTTGTATCGCACCGAGCCTAATGTCAACCACAAAACCATACGTCATAGATTTGGCTGTTCTGAAACCATTTTTATATATGTCTGATGGGAAGAACTGATGGTATTTAATCATTGTTTCATAAGGTGTTAACTTGACTGCTTGTAATGCTCTGGAAAGCATAAGTAATACATTTGAGGTTCATTTTTAATTAAATTTCTAAATGCAACAAAGAAAAAGCGATGCTTAGACCTCTCCTTTTTGGATAAACAGTTCTCATGATAGTTTGGTTGCATGGTATTTAGATAAAATAAGGACTTTTCATATTTCTATATTTAAAAAAAAAGAATAAATATATTATTTTTGCCTGATGTAATAGAATTGTAGAGAAATATTTATGACAGATTGTTTGTAGATAAAACAGAGTGTTGTGTTGTTTTAATTTGGGATATCTCAAGTAAATTCAGGTTAAATCTAAAATTTCAAGTTTATGCTCAGAATTAGTTTATTATCTAAATCAACAACCAAATCTACGTGAGAGAAAAAAAAATAGTAAAGTGACGTGACAAAGGAAAATCGGACGGTTTTGATCTCACATACGTGGATCAGTGAATCTTGTATATTCTGGGTATCTATGTGTTAAGGTGTTTTACACACCTAGAGGGACTCTCTGGGGATCAACTTCTTTAATGTAACCTAAAAATTAGAAAAATATGTATGATGTATCCTGATTAAATTATCAGTTTTTTTCACTGATGATTTAAAAAATGTTTCATAAGAAAAAATAATTACATTTCACTGCAAGCACAGTGTGCACTCCTCCAATGTTTGTCAAGTTACCATAGCCCTTCAAATGATGACAATGAATTCCTGCTTTAGACTATTATAATGCCTTTTGCTCATGTAATACAAAAAGTGAATGTGATTGTTCTCCACTTACAGTTTAAAAGGATGCTGAATCGGGAGCTGACTCACCTATCGGAGATGAGTCGTTCTGGGAATCAGGTGTCTGAGTTCATCTCCAGCACTTTCCTGGGTGAGCGCTGACTTGGGAATTACTTTTAACACATTTTCAAAATTAACGAGAGAAAAGGGATGGGTTTCTGTCCTTGTTCTCATTGTTAATTTGTTTTCATGTTGCAGATAAGCAGCATGAAGTAGAGATGCCATCCCCACAAACGCAGAAGGAAAAGGAAAAGAAAAACAAGCCCATGTCACAGATCAGTGGAGTAAAAAAACTGCAACACTCTTCCAGCCTCACAAACTCAAATATCCCACGATTCGGAGTTAAGACTGAGACTGAAGATGAACTGGCTAAGGTTTGTATTCACGTCCTATGTGAAAACCTTTAGTATTTAGGGATATTAATCTTTGAATCTGGGCACACCTGATGTTTGGATATGCAGATATTTTGACTGAAACATCATTTACATCAGCAAGTTTCTAAAAATGATGAGCCTTATATGATAGTGTTGATTCATAAAGAAATAAATATTGACCTGATATGGTCTAATTTAACATTTACTTTGAGCCTTTGTGGCACAATTCTTTGTGGCCAAGCCATATGCGACATTAGTGACCCATATGTGTCAGAAATTACCCAGATCATTAAAAATTAAAAATGCAGCTGCTGCTGCGGGGTAAACTTATGGCCAGTAATGTTTCATTGGCTGGCATTTGCATTGCCACTTGAAAAGTGGAGCTATTCTTACTTTGTGCTAGAAGCTACATGGGCCAAAATGAAGGAAAAAAATTAAAGAAGTGAATATAAGTTTTGTCTCTAACTGTGTCTCGAATTCCTTTTTTTTAGGAGCTGGAACATGTGAATAAATGGGGCCTCAACGTTTTTAAAATCTCAGAGTTCTCTGGGAATCGGCCGCTGACAGTCATGATGTACACAATATTTCAGGTCAAGACTCCAGTCTATTAACTGTCTGGCCGATTGCCTCCAAAGTAAATACTTGTTGAAACCTTGAATAAACTTCTTCTTTTTTAAATATATTTTCAGGAGAGGGACTTGTTGAAAACATTTAAAATTCCACTTGACACCTTTATAACATACCTGATGACCTTAGAAGACCATTATCATGGCGATGTGGCCTACCATAACAACATCCATGCTGCTGACGTCACCCAGTCAACTCACGTGCTGCTATCCACCCCTGCCCTAGAGGTTAGACTCGTGCACACAAGCTCAGACATGTGCTCGAAAACACATTCAGCATCAATCTAACCAAAGTCCAATCAATATAAGATGCTTTCCTCACTCGTGTGCCCATTCTGTCTTCCTCCAGGCTGTGTTTACAGACCTTGAGATCTTAGCTGCCATCTTTGCCAGTGCAATTCATGATGTGGACCATCCTGGAGTGTCCAACCAATTCCTCATAAATACCAGTAAGTCCTAATACAGATTTCAGTGTGCAGCTGTGTCAGTAAAACACAAGCGTGCATCCACAGATGCGTGGGTAAAAATAAACGCTTTAGCCGCTGCCTTGTTAACGCAAACATTGGTTTGACTTGTGTTACTAACATTTACACAATTTATTTTTTACATTTAATTGGAAATGATAAATGCACTACATCTATGTTGTCTTTTAGTCATGCTTATCACTCAAAACACTAGCAGCCATTAACACACACAGTCACAGCAGTCTCTGTCATACACGCACTCATACATTGATGAACACATTGGAGGGAAAGTGGGGTCTTTAGTGACTGAACAGGAACATTAGTGAAACTATAATTCAACTACTGATTGTCCTGTTGACAGATGATCCCTCTTCTTACTAAAACTGGCTCCAAACATTTCAAGATCTTCAGGATTTTAGCATCTTTGTCATCCTGGGGTCTGTCAGTATTGAGCTAATTTTCCAAAAACTTGAGTTTCCGACTCTTTATGTTTTTTTATGGCCCTTCCTAGGCCCTTTTGTGGGCCCCCATGTGCAAACATCAGTGTCAATGGCAGGATGCTGGTTTTCTTAAAGGAAATCACGCTGTAACAAGATACATGTCAGGAGTTAAAATGTTGTGGTGGGTCAGGAAATAGTCACATGGACATCATGTTCATGCATGTGCGCATTTAGTCACCATGATGTTCTTGTCTGTCACGTGCAACAGCTTTGACATGTGATTCTAAGGCTTAAAGAGGTGATCAATACTGTGTTTGTGTTGCCCATTCCCTCTTTGAAGACGTCATCCATGTTTCAAAGGAAAACATGCTCTTAAAGACAAAGAAGCAGGAAGACACAGTGCATGGGAAATATTTGATCTATCTTAGTATAAACATCTGGTTAGGCTCCAACTCTTATATTCAGCAAAAACATATTACACTGTAATTAAACTTAGGTAACAACTATGCGTAAACCTGCTGATGGTTTTAAGCCAATCCTCATTACAAATTCTACCTTTGCTCCTGTATAATTTGGTTGGCAGTAAATGTTTCCAAGTTTTCATTTGTGCTCCTATAAATCCACCAAACAAAAATTCTGAACACCTCTAGGCAAAAAAAAAGTAGGAAGTAACTGCAAAGAAAATGGCACGAATGTAGAAAGAAACCAGACTCAATCCCACCAAGGGTTGTTTTGAATGCTCGTTATGAAATATAAACAGTGGCTCAAATGGGCTTGTCAGACTTGCAGAGTTCATGGTGTTGTGGTTGTAAAAATGTCCTTGAGCAAGAGAGAAAGTCCCCGTTATCTCTCCAACTGATTCACCTTGTTCTGGCTTGAAGGGCCACAAATATTGCCATGTTTTGGCCATTTAAAGTTGAAAACAGTCTGTGTCCACTGGGTGCTTTAAACAGCCTCGATCCACACCATCACAAATGTGAATGTTGCATAACAGTGTAACTAATCGGAACATAAATGACACACTGATGTCTCACAATAGTGCACACACAAACTGTGCACCATCTAAATGACCAAGTTGGGAATCCCTGATGTAAAAGCGGTGTGAGTCATCCGATTTAGGGCCCACCCAACAAATCTTTAGTCAACCAAAAAGAGGTAGACTGAGATTGCTATTGTTCTTTTTGCTGCACTGTCTCACTGCGCTTGAAACTCCTCCATCTAAACGGAAAGTGAGATGAAGCCGTGCAGGAAACCTGACGGCAGAAACCGCTGCTTTTCTCACAGAACAAAAGATGTGCAACATTTTTCAGTTTTATAGTGAAAATGTTTGTGATGCCATTCATGTTGACCCAATTTCACACGTAACCAAAATGTAAATCATCTGAGCTGAAGCGATCATCTGTCATCTCTGTGCAGATTCAGAGCTAGCCTTGATGTACAATGACTCGTCGGTGTTGGAGAACCATCATCTGGCTGTTGGTTTCAAGCTCCTACAAGAAGAGAACTGTGACATCTTCCAAAACTTGACCAAAAAACAAAGACAATCACTACGAAAGATGGTCATTGATATTGTAAGTCAGTTTTCCATTTAACTTGACTCTACATACAGAAATTAAACCACTTTTTCTTGACTGAACTGTTTATGTTTGGGTCTTTCCAAGGTACTTGCGACGGACATGTCAAAACATATGAATCTTTTGGCCGATCTGAAAACAATGGTAGAAACCAAGAAGGTGACCAGCTCTGGGGTGTTGCTGCTGGACAACTACTCTGACAGGATACAGGTAAGCTTCAGACACTGGATTCTGTAGGGGTTCAGCTGGGGTCGCATTTTGGCTACAGCATGTCCAATTGCAGCCGCTCAAAAAATCCTTTGAACAGACTTCTCTGGCATATCCCAGAGGCACCAAAAAATCATTTCTCTACTCTACTAAAAAGTGCACAGAATGTGTTTATGAGAGTTTAAAATAAAGCATTGCATGGTTCCAATTGTCTAAAGCACCACAGATCATCTTTTAGGCTAGGATTCTTGCTGTATATATGAGCAATGGACAAACAGACAGTGAACAAATACAATATCTGTAACAGTTTTCCATGCAATAAACTGCACAAATACTGCGTTTTTGACACTTTATCTTGTTGTATAAAGGTTCTCCAGAACATGGTTCACTGTGCAGACCTGAGCAACCCCACCAAGCCTCTTCAGCTGTACCGCCAGTGGACAGACCGTATCATGGAGGAGTTTTTCAGCCAAGGTGACCGAGAGAGGGAACGGGGCATGGAGATCAGCCCTATGTGTGACAAGCACAACGCTTCGGTAGAGAAGAGCCAGGTAATAGACACCAGGAGATGAATGCGCACGTCATATAGAAAACATGTGGTGCATAAATTGCACGCTGAGGCTCTTGCTCTCCTCTTCTCTGTAGGTTGGATTCATAGACTATATTGTTCACCCTTTGTGGGAGACGTGGGCCGACCTGGTTCACCCAGATGCCCAGGACATCCTGGACACATTAGAAGACAACAGAGAGTGGTACCAAAGCACCATCCCCCAGAGCCCTTCTCCAGCACTGGACGATCCAGAGGACGGCACTAGACCCCCTGGAGGGGACAAGTTCCAGTTTGAGCTGACGCTGGAGGAGGACGGGGAGTCAGACACTGAGAAGGACAGCGGCAGCCAGCCGGAGGAAGAGGAGGAGGAGGAGGAAGAGGAAGAGGAGGAGGAAGAGGAAAATAGCTGTACTGACTCAAAAACACTCTGTACGCAGGACTCTGAATCAACAGAAATTCCTTTGGATGAACAGGTGGGGGATGATGATGATGATGATGAAGAAGAGGAGGAGACAGTAGAGGAGGGCGAGACACCCTGCTCACAAGCGTGTGTTGTTCAGGAAGAGGTAGCAGAGGAGGAAGCGGAGGAGGAGAGGAAGACACCTGACACATAGCAGTTGTGGACAGCAGACGATTAACTGCTTTTCTTAGTAATGACAGATGATTATTTATAGAATATTTTTTGGGGTTTTGTGAAATCTGTGTTTTTTATACATCTATGTTTCTGGTTCCAAAGCGTGTGCTGCTCTCTCTTGGCCATCATCCTGTCAGCTTTGTTCAGACACGCCCATCGGTACTACTTAAAAGTTTTTTTGCACTCAGGAAAAACTCCTTTTCATTTTCATTTGTACTGAAGTGGTGCGACTTTCTTTTGCTTTGACACCTCCACTCTGCAACCTTATGTTTATGACGTGGACTATCAGTGCTCACACTGCTTAATGCTGCTCATGCATTACATCGTTTTTTTTGTCTTTCTGCTTTGTCTCTGCCTTGCCAGAAAGTTTAGTAGTGTCCTTACGTTTTTTATTAAGTGCCCAGAATCGTTTAGGTCACATCCTCCCCGCTCTGAATTAGAAAGGTTTGTTACGCTGCCGTTCAGTTGAAAACAAGTCTTTGCGCCATGCCACAGAAATGGTGACTGCAGCACACTCGGGAGCTTTTCAAAACACATTTCTGCCGTGGAAGTCTTCCTTGAAAAGCTGACTGACACAAAGTTTAAATGTGAACAGCCATGTCCTCTTTCTTTTTTATATTGTACCGTTGCCAGTGCGTTGAAGGGTTCTCTTCATAGCTGGATTATACGAGGAGTGTTTTTAGCTGTTCTTACTTGGGCCAATAGAATTTATTCTCCCATTCACATGCCACTGTACGCATATTCAGTTCCTATATGTTGACAGTTATATTACTTTTATGGTAACAAATATTTTGGTAGTTTTCACTGAGAAGGAAGCAGAAACCTGAGGTCTTATGCTTCACTCCCACTGGAACCATTTATGTGGATGAAGCCTTTAAATTTGATTAATCTTGCCTGCAGTTCTTTTGAACACATCCCAATACAATGCAATGCTTTATAGTTGATACAAAAAGCACCTTTTTTAGAAGCTTGATTAGTGCTCTGTTTGTATAGAATTAGTAATGGTGTTTAAAGATTACTTGGGTGGTTTTATACCAATGTTATAAACACTTTGCTTTCTTTACACATCAGTGACAGCTGCTTGTCTTAAGCCACTTATGTTACAATGTTGGCTTCATTTTTAATGTACTTTATGTTAAATAGCATTGACTCCAGTTACTGTCTTAGTTTTTAACAAGACAATCAGTTCCATAGCATAGTCACAAGGTAAGACTATTCTCTAAGTAGATCTCTAATGCACTAATATATTCATATGTCGCCTCTTTAATAGTTCTTATATGTTTTAACCTTGCCAAAACACTGACTCATGCTTGAACACAGGTTGAACTGTGTTGTCCCACACCTCAGCCAAGAGTCTATTACCTTTTTCCATGTTTCTACCATTTTAAATGACTTACACCCAATGCTATTATTTATTGGTATATTTTTCTATTTGTTGAGTTGTTTTTGCAATATAAAAGTGGTACACTTTATATTTTACTGTAGCATATACCACAGGCTTGCGGGTTACAACACCCAAACTTTTCCCCATGTACATAATGTAATGAAAAAAAAAACAACAAATGTAAAAGAAAGGACAAAAAGAAAACACTTGAAATATCGCACACCGCTTTTTTGAAAAGTGCTCGTTTTAATCATGTCTTTTTAAAACTTTTATTTCAACATTTTATTTGTGCCAATATTTTTTTTCCATCCTCACCCAAAGCCCTTACCTGTAATAAAAAAGAATCTGGTTTTATCGCTGTTTACAAACATATATTTATTGTGCTGTATATAATATATAATTATTAATGTTATTACTATCATAATGCAGTTTGCTGTAAATGGTTGATTCTTATCATCCCTTTTGGTGATGGTGTGGCTGTATTATGTACCTCTTGTTGAGAGAATGTTTATTACACATGAGCTTCAGTGTAAAAATGATCCATTGACTTGTTGCTTATCTGAGAACTAGCTCAGTGAAGAGAGGGGGAAAGCCAAATTGTTTTTTAAAGAGAAGCTGTTCCTTGGCCCATGGGCTGTGCCTTAAATTCAACACATCATTTACTTTAGCCTTTTTTAATTCTCTAGATCTCCTTTGCTGCATCGGTGAATCTTTTAACTTTGGTTGGCCTGATCTGTTCTTCAGAAAAAAAATGCCTTTTAAAGATCCCACCTACACTCTGTTTGCGCTATCACAAATATGGCACTGGGAAGAAAAACATAGTAATTCACTATAGAGGTTTGTGGAGACTCAGGTCAGCCACGAGTCATAGATTCACCACATGAGTGATTGTGGCCTATAGCTGGATGTTCAAGAGTCAAATTTGCTGTAGACCTGGTCTGAACAACTCACACGTACCTGTGCGCTTATATCTGTTCACTTCGAGATGTGAAGCAACCTTTCGGGTGCAGATGATATGGGAGTAACTTTGCTGTGTCATCTGTTCCCGGGTCGCATCACAGCTAAGAGACAGAATGGGATGCAGCAGCTGCGTTTAGTTGGTGCTTGACCATGGCTCTACAAAGCACAGAGGCTTTGTGACACATCTGCATGTTCAGCCACTGCTGCATTAATTATGGCTGAAACACTGACGATGTGTCGCATATCTGAGCTCAGCCCACACTTCCACTCGCGTTTCTTGCAATATCCAAAACCACTGACATCTCTCTGCCTGGAAGGGTGAAGGGTTTAGTATATTCCGTACTAAAGGGAAGGGGGGGTTGTATGGTGGGACGGATTTGGGGGGAAGTGCATCGTTGTCCCGAAACGGGGACTCTTGTTTTGACACACATACTGTAGATTTTAAACAGCCCTGGACCAATGGAAAAAGTGGGTTCTTTTCTCATTGTGTGTTCTATTTTTTAATGGTGTGAAAGGAAAACACAAACTGTAACTTAAAAAAGGTCTTCAGGACAATTATTTTTGGGTTATGTCTTTAGAATGCCAACATGTCTGGACGTTTCACAGGACAATTCAAATGTTATTTTAATGGATTCCTTGGTAATCGCAGTCTATTGGATAGCACTGTAGATCATACAACTTTGTGTATAAAATGAGTAAAAAGTACGAAAAAAGTTTTTATATGCAATGGATTAAATAAAAGCATGGGTTGATTCTGCCTACTTCATAGTCTCTTGTTTTCATTGATTAAAGGATGGTAGCTTTTAAAGGGAGAAATGAATAAATACGTCTTTAGTTTCAGAGTTTAGTTTCAGATTTTTAAAATGGTGATCCTTTAATTCAGTTGTATTTTCTGTATGTGTCTTAAAGCTATTGATGAAAAAATAATCCGTAAAAAAATCCTTAGAAGTCAATTCAGCTGTCCACTTTCTACATTCAAGTGGACATGTTAATAATCCTTTCTTTACTTGTGTATTCCACGACAAATTATCATAGAATAAAACACTGACAAATATCCCATTTGTATACATTTTGGGATATTTGACCTTATGATTCATTGAAAGACATTGGATAGCAATATTTATTTTTTTTATTTATTTATTTATTTATTTGAATAGGGACAGAGCACATTAATGAACATCAGTGAAAACAAATGTAAATATGCCGGATTGTAGCTACAAAGCTAATTTTCATCCGTAGTCCCTAGTTAAAAAATAACATATAATAAACAATACAAGCATCACAATTAAAAGTTTAGATTTTAGTGGTCACATGACTGGCTTGCTTTCATCCAGAGTTTAAGTTGAGCTCTAAAGCTGGTCAGTGTGGGGCTCTCCCGTATGTATTTAATGGAATATCTCCTTCTTTCTCTAGTACTTCAACAGAATTTTACAAACTCTTGAAATAGAGACATGCCCAGCATGATATCCCAGCATTGAACAAAGGTTTTCACTCAAGTATCCTTAGCAATAAAATATGTGTATGTAAGACTTATCAGTTAATAATTATAGTTGTAATAAACACAAGTAAAAAGTGGAATATTTGGTTTTGGCAATGAGTGAGGTAGATACGCACAAGCACAACTACAGATACAATTTAAACTAAGCTTGCAGAGGCCTCACTTTAACACTAGATGGCGGTCTTTGTCTTAAATTGAAACAAGGTGACTCAACTGTATCATTGCTGCTGAGACAGCTGGCCCGGGTAGAGGTCAGCATTCACCAACTCCCTCCATCTTGCTTTGGCATTATCATTTCAGAGCGACAGAGAAGACAGAGACCTGCTGATAGAATTGGATTTATTTTCTATAGTCTCAAAAACATCCTTCATACTTGTCTTGAACTCCAAGAGCTCCATAAATATTCATTTATACGTAAAGTCATGATGTTCTAAAATGACACTTTCCCAGATTGACTGCTCGACCATGGTTGTTCTGTTATTAAATAAATCTTGACTTGAGATTTACACTGATTTATTTCATGGCAACAAGTTATACTATCACACATACACTGACACACATGCACACAGACAATGTGTGCAAATGTATATGCAAGAATTGAAATCATTTATGTGTACCCCTTTTCTTAAGAATTACAATAGTACAGCATATGGGATGGACTAATGGACTAAGTTATCTCCCTGACTATCTTTCACAATAACACTGCATTTTGACATGATAATACAAGTTTAGTTTACACTCAACATTTAGCAGGAACAGCATACAGTACGTGGATACATTTGTACAAAAGGTATACACAAACAATACGCTATAGAACTGAAATTTGTCTCAGGTATGACAGGAACGCACACACAAACGCACACACACACACTTCAAGTCACGCATTCAGTGGCGGCAGGTGCTGAATGAAGCACTAATGCCTTTGTAGGACATTGTACCACATTTTCAGAACTGACCGACTGTCACTCGCACACTGTAGATAGAGTCTCTAACTCGAGGATAGGAGAAACTATTTACAAGTTTAATTAATAAAATATTGCACTTATTGGCCCATTGCATCTTATAGCGAGTGCTATGTCAATGCTCCTAATTCTGTAACACAGAGTGATATATACAGTGGCTTACAATACAAATCTACACAGATAGGTCAGGAGTGAATTCATGCAATTCTTTCAGAATTTATTCAACTATGCAACAAATCACTGACGGGGCTGAGGGAACCATTTTGGCACAAACCTTTTTTCTTTTAATGATCATAACTAAAATATTCAGGATTGTTAAGTTAGTGAAACAGATTACACTACATGGACTTATTATTAGGACAGTACAGTACAATATGCCTGAAGTAGAGGAAGATTTCCATTTTAAACTACTAAACCAACTAACGCAACTTACTGTGATATTTCTTTAAGAAGGGAATTTGTTTTACAGCACAAAAGCATGCCGACTCAGAAATTATGGCTGTTTATTCCATGCCAGGACAGATCATCTGTTTAATATTATACACTTTACTGTGGCTTGACAGTAAGAGACATTTATTTGATAAAACGCTGTATAATTACTGTCATATGGAATTAAGGATGGACAGGTTTGGGTAAGGCCTATCTTAAAAGAAAACAGCACATGTCATTGTCTTTTTGGCAGCATGCTCTTTGCATCATAAAATAAAGGGTCATCTTACAGCTTGAGGGCAACCACTGGATTGCTTTTTACTTTTAAAGTTTTTTTCATCATTGAAATCACACATCTACACACAGAGTGGAACTGTACTAACATCAACATTATACAGACCGGATTTGTTCCAACACTTAGCAGGATAGAGGGACTTTTTGAGGCCATGTTGGAGATGCTAAAAAGGCCACTTTTTTTTTCCAAAGGTAGATGATCTTTTTGATGGCAATGAGACGTAACAGTCACACTCATGCAAATCCTCACTCACTTATTGTACAGACACAGCCAAACAGTTACACAAAAGAAAGCCGCTACATTTTCTAGTGCTCTAAATCACAGATTTGGCAGCTGTAAGAGTCGAAATGAATGAATGTCATAGGAAAATACATACTGTACACAAATTTTCAAGAAAAGACTTAAAGCACTCACTGATTCTATCCCTTATTGTATAAGTAGTTTTAGGTCTTAAAGGTCCTAAGGATTACATGTACAGTATGACTGTGAACTATTTCAAGCCCTATAGAAAATAACTTGATAATTACAATACTAACGAGCTGAAGATTGAGAACATGATTTTGATATATCCTAGATCTTGTGATGTTACATGTTTACACCAGCCACATCTGTTTTGTGTCTAGTTATTTGTGTCTAGTTATTTGCTTTTTATATAAGGTGATAACGTTGGGAGATAATACAACAGCATTTTGTAAATCTACTACTAAACAGGATTTGGGCAGGAGTTCAAAGAAGGCAGCAGTATCAGGAGCGATAATGCTGCCAACTCTGCCTCCTAACAGGACCTGTGCTGCTTCCAGATGTTCACTAACAGTTGCATCCCTGTGGTTGGAGGGGCGGAGCGCTGTCTGTGAGTTTGGCAGTGGGGGCTCCTGTGGTGACAGCAGGATCAGTGTCCGAGCTCTCAGACATCTTGTCGCAAATTAGATCGACGAGACGCTCAAAGGTTTGCTTCACGTTGATGTTGTCCTTGGCACTTGTCTCAAAGAATTCAAAACCTTTGGGATTAACGAGAAACATGAGAAAATATAGACACAAGAAACACATCAATTACGATCAATGTGGAAAATGCAATGTCTTTTATCCTTATTAAAGTTTGTTTACTGCTCCAGCTGTATGTTTCAAACAAAGGTGGGGTCTTTTGAATATCTCAGTTTTATCTTAAAATGCGTTTGTGAGTGAGGGAGGAATAAATGGTTATGCAGTCTTAATTTTATGCAACAACATGATAATGAACATGATGACATCCATTTGAAAAATACACAAAGGGGTGAGTGTTATCGTGAGACCCACCCAGCTGTTCAGCCAGCAGTCTACCACTATCCACTGAGACCACTCTTTCTTCGTCCATATCACACTTATTCCCGGCCAGCACCACCTGAGCATTATCCCATGAGTAGGTCTTTATCTGGGTCGACCTGGGCAAAATCAGAGACAAACACACACACACACACAAGCAAGTCACTTTAAAGCTCTGCTTAATTATTAACTGTTAGACAGGTTTTGTGACACATACATTTGACATGATCCTTCAGAAACAGATGGACGAGGGAAGAACATGATATATAATGTTTGCTGGGCTGGTCACAGACTGTGATTACATGCTTTTCTTTTGGCATCATGTAACCACTGAGTCACTGATAGCATCAGTGGAGAAGTAGGTCAATTGGCATTCTGCACTACAAATATGCAGTTACTTCATGCTCAAATATGGGCAATTATTTGCAATTATTTCATTACTGTGAGTATGTCACATATACCAGGGCAAATATTCATTTTTGGCTTTACATTTGATTTAATTTCCATGACATATCAGCCAGGTGTTGCACCATGAAAGTTCTGATTAAATTATTTATATTACGTCTATATTTGTTAAAAACTATAAAAGACCAAATTAAACTATTATCATTTTAATTTACAACAGTTTTCACTCCATACTGTGCAACCTTGAGAAATTAAAGCTTATTAAGACATTTCAACTACTAAGAACAGCATGTTACTTCCCACATTAATTACAAATATCAATATCATTATGTTGTTTCAATATAGGATATACATATTTAAGAGTGAACAGTAAAAAATAGTTATTGCAGTGTCTTTTGTAAAACATGCCAGCAACCTGCAAGACGTCCTCCGCAACTAGGAATTATTTTATTCACAACAGCGTTAAATTCATTTTGATTTATCATTTAATTTGAAAAGAAAGCTAAGCACATAGACGTCTTTAGCAATTAAGTAATTAAATCAGCAGCGAAATATGTTGCATAAAAAGCATAATTGTGATTCCTTTATTCCAATTTATAATTACCACACACCGAGTCACAGACACCAAAACTATGTAAACAACATATCTTTTGTTTAAAAAAAGATGAATTGCTTGGAAAACTATATTAGACATCAACTGTCGTTCAGTGAGGGGCTTGCACTCTTACAACCACTGAAGGCAGCTTGCAGTGTGGGAAGGAATTCTATGAGTACATTTTTCCTGTTGTGTGGCAGTTTGGCTGAAAGTAGGGTAGCGAACAAAAGAGACAAAAAAAGCCAACTCCAGAGAAAGGGAAAGCAACATGACGATAAAGCCCCTCCTCTCTGTCATGAAGAGATGTTCTAACAGTTCAGATGAGAGTCAATTTAAGTCCACAGGCTGCACAGTTTACATGTAATTATATGTGTTAAAATTGGTAGATTAAAGATAGTTCATGATTATGTAATGTTGAATTAAATGTAAATGCTTGTTAAATACATGTTAGTTGAATTCAAATCCAACATTTGATGTCAGCCTTACAGTATTTCGCTGCTTTATCTGCGACTCAGGCAGGAAATGAACACGTCATAAGCTTAATTCAGCTCAGTCGGGAAGGAGCCATTGCCATGGCAACCTCTTTTTTTCTCTCAACCTTGTCACAAGGAGCGAGGCAAAGAGAAAGTGGAATTAAAGCCAGTGGCAAAGGCAAAAAAAAAGAGAAAGGATAGGAGTTATTTGATTGGTGAAACAGAACCTCTTCTTTCTGTACTGGATACTAAACACCAGGCCTGCAGCAACCAGGGACACATTTGGCTCTTCTAATTAGATATCCATCACAGACAGTGCTCAGACTGCAATACCCCACAAAGGTCTGAGGCAGGTCTTCAAAGAATAATAGCTGTGTCTGGGTTTTGACCTTGTTTTACACAGAGACCATTTTTTGTTTGCAGTGACAGGAAATCAACTGAAACTAGGATGATAATAATGAGTATTTGAGCAAAGATGCTCCAAGCATGAAGCAGTGGTCATGTGCTGCTAACTGAGTGAGTAGGGCGAAGTGGCCACAAACCTATCAGGACTACAAACTCTACAGCCTTCAGATGATCTTCAAAGGATACCCCCAAAGTGTACCAAATGTTCTGCTGAGAGTTGATAAAATATTTTAATTCATGAGCTCATGATAATTCATCTCCAAATTTGACACGTCAGTGTTCAGACATCGAGATAGCACATCCCACTGTGTATTTCATCACATCCACGTCAAAGGATTTGCAAATAAAAAAGTAACTGAAGTATACTAAAGGAGATGCTTTATTTGATTAGAAATCTACATATACATTTACGTTTTGTTTGGTTCCAGTCCTTTCCCAAAGAGGTTGGACCCCAAATAAATCTTATGCTCTCCAATATTCAATTTCAAACAACAGGCAAAACCGCAATCCTCTTAATTTAACAAGACACCTCTTTCAAGATAGACATAATAGGAATTAGAAGTACATGATTTGTGTTGGAAAATCTGCATTGTTTAAGGAAAACAAAAGAAAGACTTGTACTAATTCTATCACAGTCTACAACATTACTATGTTTAGGATGTGCAGAAATGTAACTACATTTTGTATTCCTTTTTTTAAGTACAGGAAAGCAGAAGCATCCGATTAGCAAAATAGTAAATCAGAATACATTCATTTGCTGTTTCTTAGTTGTTGCTGCTGGTGAAAGAAAATCTAATCTAGAACCCTGGTTTCAGCAGTTGATCGAATGGACACAAGTCCTGGTTTGGAAAGGAGTGCATCCCCATGAAAAACAGACTTCTGTCTCAGAGACACAGTCAAGCCTGCAGACGCTTGTGTGACTCATGAATAGACCACAGCCATAACCTTGACAGGTTTTTCTTTGATCCCTATGCCTGACAAAGTTGCATGCATAAACTCCCTTCCACAAACAGAGAAAAGAACCTCAGTGTAATCACTAAAGGTAGATGATGCAGGTGGGCACCTGAGAAAAATGATCCCCAAGTAATGTCCTTAAAATGAAAGCCTCAATTACATGTTTATGTGGAACTCGTAACAATTTAATTAACACAAATAATACTAAAAGGTAGAAATTATACGTTTATTTAAATCTGACAAGCTGTGACTCACCAGTCCTGCACAGCGCCAAAGGACTCCTCATTGGTGATGTCATACATGAGGATGAAGCCCATGGCGCCTCTGTAATAAGCTGTGGTGATGGTCCTGTAGCGCTCCTGGCCTGCAGTGTCCTGCACACAGACACACACGAGTTACTGTAGGATGGCTGTTCGGGGAGCCGACTGTCAAACTACACAGTGCTGATCAGACCAGGTATGGCACAGGGAGTATAAACAGTCCCGTCAAAGAGCAGAATTTAGACAGTTACTAGTTAGTCATAGTCTTATTTATACAAAGAGATTGTCTTGGTTCAGAAATGTACTATTGGTTATGGCTTTGTTTATTGGGCTCTTCAGCTGGAAATAATCATTATACTAATTGCCTGGCTGGCTCTGCATTGATAAGGTGCCAAAAACAGCAACTCACTTTTGGGTGATGTGATTGATTCGTCCCTCACCTCAATAAAATAATCATTCGACTGTGTTAAAAGCTCTGCGGAGCAGGGTGGAGAGCTCAGCCGTGTCACATGTATTTTGGAGGAAGGGGGCTAAAAATAGGGACAATATTATTTGAACCTTGAAAAACTGCTTGCTGAACCAATTGCTCAAAGGCAAAAAGAAAAAACAAGTGGCCACACAGCATTTGAGGGGTTTACACACACAGGTGAAGTCCAAGACTAACACCCACTGCAGCCCAACGTGACAATGGAATAGGAAACTATTTTCAGATGTATTTTGTTTCGTTTTGATCCTTCATATTGTTAAACCATGCTGTAGAACTGTTTCTTTGCAGGTTACATAAAATAAATCTGCAACCATGTCCCTCTAGTTGACAGTGTATGTTTACTGTGCTGTTTTTACACCCACAACAAGTGTGTTTCCAGGCTTCTGTGAATCACGTCAGAAGACCTCTGGCTACTCTACTTGGCTCTTATAGACGCCCGACAGACAGCTCTAGGTTGTATTTACGGCCACACTTTTGTTCTCTGCTGGTCTGGACACGGCTGCAACAGTGTGCCTGTTACAGCCAGAGGACAAATCTGACCTTCACTCCACAGACATGACGCTCAAAGCCTGCTGAGTTTCAACCCGTACGCTGCATCTAGGACATTTTTCTCAGTGTGCAGAAAATACTTCCTATGCATAAAAGAGAGCAAATGTGTTCAGTCTTTTTTTTTTATCGTGACTACACATATAAGTAATGTTCAGGTTGCTCGACTGCTTGTTTAACGTCAGCCTTCCTTTTTTTGTCAGACATCTAAGACATTTCACGAACCAATTTAATTTGGGCTGAGTGCTTGACAATGACCCAAGCATTTTCTGGCTACGTCTGCATGTCAGTTTGCTTCTTCTTGCTTAAAAAGACAGTGTTAAAAAGACAACAACAAAAAAAAACTGCTTGAGCCCAGAGAATTTGAGTACCTTTAAAGGCAGTGCTTGTAGTCTGCGGCTCAGCAGAAATCAATCAAGAAAGAAGAGCACTTTCAGCATCAAGACAGGGAGCAGAGACTGACAAATGCAGAAATTCTTATTTTTTTGTACTGCTTTCAATGATATTGCCAGTGTTATGTGTTTAATCCATTTCCGCCTAATGTGAAATCAGGAAGGACTCTTCATGTAATATGATGTGATTAACACGATGACTTTAGCCAATACCCATCACCTGAAAGGGACATTTACTGTAAGTCTCAGCTCTTTCTTAGCCCAATTAAAAGAGACAAGACAATTAACTGGATGCAAATGCAATAGGGTCGCTTCCCAGAATATGCTTGTGTGTGCAGATGATGGAAACACATTATCCTGATTAGCTCATTATTTGACTGCTTAAATTCAAGTTTTCACATCCTGATGGAGTGCTTCCTCTTCTCCCTTTTATTCACAGATACTAAATGAGATAAATAATTGCAGAAAAAAGAAAGACGTAAAGAGAAAGAGGAAGATAAAGGAAACTCAAGTGGTACATTTTAAAAAATAGACATAACTGAGGAAAGTAATCGAAACAAAAAGAAGCTGATACATATCTTTTCTCGTCTGCATCTCAGGGGTATTGGGAGACAATCTGCTTCAACACCTCCGATTAATCCCTAATTAAAAAACTCAACATTTTTCTGTTTCCAACACATTCTGGGAAAGGTGTTGCTTCTGTGTTCTTCCCTTCGGTGTGCCAAGCTAACACTTACTGGTCTTCTGTCAGTTATGCTGAGATTTCCATCTGTCTCCACACATAGATCAGCGTTATCAAATACAACAAAGCCTTTCCTGTAATACTACTGAGTAAACTAGTCACTTACCCTTAAGTTCGACATGGTTTTGAAACTAAGAAGCAGGGTACAGGACTCTCTCTTTAACGTGTTGAATAGCGCCAGTATAGTATTTACTGGCACAAAAAGTCCTTGGGTAAACTCTATACAAATGCTAAAAGATCCAAGTTCTTGTAAAATATGAAAAACATGACAGACCAAGTCTGTTTAGGCATAATGATTTATCACGGTTTGTGCAACAAACTGAAACACTGTCTAAGACTGAATAAATATCCAGGTGATCCCATGTGCTTGGGTCTTTGAGGAAAAGGGAAACCATATAGTGCCAGCGTATCACAGACTCTGAGAAGAAAAATCGATCGAGCAAGAAAGATATGGGGCGAGGTACAGACAAAGTGGGCTCATGACAGAGATTGACAGCCCTTTACCGACTGGAATCCCTCAGCAGGAGCACAACGTTGCAGAGAGGAAAAGAGAACTAAGGAGGGCTGGGCCCCTCTGAGGAGACCCTCCTGGAGACCTTGGAGAGAAACAGGGAACACATTTCTCCACACAGCATTAACTGCTTTGGGCGGGAAATACAGCCTTGACCAGGCATTGTGACTCTCTTCTGAAAGCGTGACGCCCCAACGTGAATCCCACATACCCAGATCTGCAGTTTGATCCTCTTGTCATTCTTGTACACGGTCTTCACTTTGAAATCGATGCCCACCGTGCTGACAAAAGCCGAAGTGAAGGCGTCGTCGGCGTAGCGGAAGAGGAAGGAGGTTTTGCCCACGCTGCTGTTGCCGATGATCAGCAACTTGAACATGTAGTCAAAATTCTGGTCTCCTCCTTCTCCTTTTCCTTTCACATCCTGAGTGGCAGCCATCTGCAGGAACAAAGGGGCAGGATTTTGTTGGAAGAGGGCGCTCAGGGGCAGAGAAATGAAATAAAGAAGGGAATAGCAGATGCTGGGAACAGTTAAAACAAGGTGTTGTCACATAGTCTGACCAACAGTTTACAGTACTCAGAGCACTGGCTACAGCTTCTTGTAACAGATGGAGACAGCAGAGTGGAGACATAGTTTCTTAGGGGATTACAAACATTTGTAATGCTTTTTCATGAAATTTCAGAAAGCATGCCACTCCATTCTTTCTTTTGAGCGTAAGTCAAACACCCATCAATCCATCCATTTTCTGAACTGCTTATTCCGAATTGGGTTGCGGGGGTACTGGAGACTATCCCGGTATTCAATGGGCGAGAGGCATGGTACCTGGAAGGTCCCCCAGTCCATTGCAGGGCCTTCCATAAAAGACAAAGATGAACTACCACACACACTCAAACTCACTCCAAAAGGCAATTTGGAATGTCCAATCGACCTAACATGCAAGTTTTTGGACAATGGGAAGAAGCCAGAGTACCCACGCAGACACAGGGAGAACACGCAAACTCCAAGTCAAACACGATGCGCTGTAAAGTCAGCAAAAAGTGTGTATTCTTTAAAAAACATCAGATTCAAAGCTATTAGAACAATCCAAATCTAATTTGTGAACATATGCCAGGAAGTAAAGGAGCAGGGTAAAAATAACCTAAACATCAGAGTATAGCACAGGCTTGTTATACCGGCCACAGATCAGAGGTGACAGAAGGCTGCGTCAGGCAAACCAGCATGACCAAACCAGCAAGCTGTCGTATCAATGAGTATTAGATAACAAGCTGAGATTTTCTTCAGCTTTTTTTTTTTCCTTAATAATCCCACAAGGCATGCCAGAGGATTGCAGCCATTGATGCTAATACTTAAAGGCCAGTATTTAGCTCATAAGTGCACTTAAAACAGAGATTCAATGCACTCAATGAAATGCTGTTTAAATTCTCCAAACCCTGTTGGTCATGGTTGCACGTGATGTTTATTTCCTGATATGTTTAAACCAAAAAATATCACATCGGCTTCCATGTTAGAACTGCAACAGCTCACAGCTGTGCTCAGTGGAATGGACATCGACCCCCATTCCCTGAAACAGCTTAGCCACACTGAGCATTTCCGTGAAGGCTGTCATCGACCTCAGAGGACGAGCATCACTAACAAGATGACACGAGCGCGGTCATCGCTTCACCCAAGGTGAATTTCTGGGCAAAAAGCGGCCCCGGACTTCCACGCTTAACACGAGCCGGCCGAGCCCTCTCGGTTTGCCGATGCAGTAAATAAAAGATGCCGGACCTCCATCGTGCACGTTTGACTCTATATTTAACACACTGCTGTGTTTGCAAGGGCATGGCTCCCAGAACAACCACCGAAAACGAGGGCACTAAAACCCAGCGTCGTTAGATCGCTCATCCTGATGGGAAAATTGCGTGATGTTGCAGATCGAGGAGCTGCATGATCTTAGACAAGCAGTCCCTGGACAGGAGGTCATTTTGTCTCCCGGTGAAATTCTTCCACACAACTATACACATCTGAAACTCGAACAAAAAAAACGCGTTGAGGACATCGTGCGAACAAACCTGTTTTGAAGGCCTCGGTTTATCTGTGTGTGCCCCCTGTTATGCGGGATTTGGCTTTTTTTTCTTTTGGTTTTATTTCTCAATCTAAGGCGGGCGCTGCTTTTCCTTCCCCTCTCTGTCTCCGACCGGTTTCAGCACCTGGGAGCTGTCCCCCTCCGCTTCGGTTCTTGGCACGCACGCGCCGACGGTGACGCGTCTCCTCTGCCGGAGAACGAGCGCGCGAGCGTGACAAGAGCGCGCTGTCGTGCGCGTCCTCTGACGTCACGAAAAACGAAGCAAAGGGGGATTGTAGTTTTTGCACGGGTTCGGGAGCAAAGGAGCAAGAAGGAGCCCGAAGCAAACGTGTGACTACTGACTACATTTCTCGGCATGCAGCGTATTGCAGATGTCAACATCTGGCTGCTTTACTGAGTAAGCGTAGAACAGAAGCGCTGCAGTTCATCATCACCGAATGTGGTCCCTCCCTATCACAGAAAAAACGACTGTAGGCTCCACAACGCCCTGTTGGAAAGGATCAAATTAGAGAGCCATGCGCTCTTTTTCCAGGCTAAATCCAGTATCTTACCTTCCCATATAAGTCCATTTCCTCCTTTGGATATTGCACCTGTTTGTTTGTTAGAATTATCTGTAGTATCTCATGAACTCGCAGCTTGCCAGCATAATTTTTTGCTGTATTTGTTTTGTTTTCAGGAAGCAGGTAATATAGCCTCTTCTTTTGCGTAAAAGTCCCTGCGTTTTGCCGTGCCCCCGCCCTCTGAGGAAACAAGCAAATAAGGGCGGCCCGAGGGCGGCCGAATATTATTCCAAACCCTTCTGAAGCAGCGGGAGCATAAAGAAGCAGCGGCGGAAATGAAAAAAGAGACGTATTTTGCAATTCTAATCACACCTCCTTAGGTGCGTAAAAAAAACAGGGCCAATTAATCAGAGAGGCACAAATGCTAAACACAGCCATTTAATGATAAGAAAGAAGCATAAATGGGGGCCTGGCCGTGTCTGTATTTCACTAATAACACAAAAGAACAATGTTTTACAGCTCATCTCATATTTTACGCATCCACGGGTCAGCCTGTAAAATAGTCAAATAGTAAAGAAGCACGCCACCAGACACAACATGGGTTACATAACCGCTATAACCAGAGCTCAAAGCACCCATCAGGCCTCAGATTTCTGCTCCTGTTTGTGGCTGGTGGGAAGGGGACGTAGTGAGAGGGCGGGCTTTGCTGCCCGGTCAGCTGCTGACTGAACTGCCTGCTGCTTGCAGGCTGGCACCGGAGAGAGGGGGGGCGGGGCAGGTAAGCGGAGCAGACGTGTTTATTTTGTGCTTTATCTCCTCAAATTAGGGCGTTTGGCCCCCAGTCGCTGCGCGTTTTTGCGCGATCGCACACGCGGGATTGTTTGCGGGAACAGCAGGTTGTTTCCTTTTGCGCCAAACTGGGTCCAGAGTTCAGAAATCCTCTCGGCTCTGTCAGAAATGTATTGAAGGCTCGTCCTTGGAAGGAGGCCCCATCCATGCCTGTGGAGCTCCTCTGAAGGATGAGTGAGCAGATGTGTGACGACAAGCTGTCGTTTTGAATTCTTGACGACTCAAAGCGAAGTAGACAGAAACTTTTCTAGAAGGTTTCTGCAGGGGGGGGGAGGGCACCATCTGCTGTTTGCAAAGGTGTCATGTAGCAGGACAGCCCCCCCCCCCCCCTGCCACACAACCTTCCGTGTGACTACCATGGTTGTTACCTGTTTGCAAAGGGATCCTTTCTTATTATTACTTCCAGAATGTTTTCCCAACAAAGCTTAAGTTTGAGTCTTCTTTTTGTGTAATGAACACTGTAGTGTAGATATTTGTCTGCATGACATACACGTCTGTTGCAAACAAATGTCAACACTTCAGGGCCACCTCATTAGTTCCAAACATCTTTACTCCTTTGGCTGGTCCATGGGAGTATCTGAAGAGATCTCTTTTTATATTGGTATTCTTTTTATTTAGTCAGTGTTGTTTAAGGGAGAATTTATGTTATGTGTTATTTATCTCCACCCAGTCATCCACACACACTGTGCAATGGAGGACTCAATTGAGGTGATTCTGCAAGACCAGGGTGGGGTATTCCCAACCAGCAGACCCCATCCCATTGTGTCTGCATGCACAGGTGCTCTGCTCACAGGGTTCTATGCAGTATGGAGCCTCTTTTCTATGCCTGGATTCCGTAAAATCCCCATGAAACTTAAGGTGCTTTTATATTTCTTATTTTCTCGTTTTATCCGTCCTTCTTTTCATGCTGCATGTTTGAAAAAATAGATGAAGACAAAGCATGACTTGACTTGCACATTAATGAAAATTTGCTTATTTTGGAGCATGTTGCTCCGTGCTACCTACAAAAGTGAGAAAAGCAGGAGATGGTAAGTATAAGTATAAGCATGACATAAAATATTATTTGTGTTGATCAAAAGTAAAATTAATGCTGAGATCCTCCATGCTAGATGTTACAGTTTTTGTTTGGAAATATTGTATCTTTTAAACAGTTATTTTTTGTGCTTATTATATTTATAATAATAATGATAGATTATATTCCTAATTTATTTAGTTTGTCACAAATCATGTCATACAAGGAGACAAGTTCAGTGTTATTCAGTGATTGTGCAACAGTTCTCAGACAGTTCTCTCAAAGGAGGTAAGACTCAAGGTTGTGAGAGAGCACTTAGCTGTTGTTAGCAGAAGTGTATTATACATGAAGCATGCACCGAAAGAAGTCAGTCCTTTTTCTTTCAGGTGTTTGATTTGATTCTTTCACTATAATGTAACCAGCATGTAAAAGATGTGTTGATGTGACTTCACCTCTTTATCCCTCCCCACTGTAACAGCAATGTATGGAGTGATTGCTATAGATATTAACGCTATATATGTTGTCTCATCACATGCTAGTGTTGTGGTTAAGGTTCCTTACTTGCCATCCAGTAAAAATCAGACACAGAACGTTATGAAGCTGCTCGAAGGACGGAGAGGGCGTTTAGCGGATCTGGGATCAGGGGATGGAAGACTGGTAAGAAAGATGGATCTGTTTTAGAATAAGAAATGAGTAAGACTGTGCAGGCGTAGCCACAAGAGCTGGGTTTATATCTCTCTAAAGCTGCATTCGTACTTGACTAGTTTTTGGGCTTTGCAGGTGTTTGCAGCCTCCGCTGCTGGTTTCCAGTCCACTGGATTTGAGATTAACTCCATTTTGGTGACATATGCACAATGCAAGGCCTATTGGGGAGGAATCCCCTCCAGCCAGGCAACGTTTGTGAAAAGTGATTTCTGGAAAGTAAGACCTGAACTTCACATTAACTCTTCTTCTTTCTTTAATACCTGATCAAAGTCAAGATTTGGTTGTTGTGTATTTTTCTTCTGTCACAGACCGATCTCTCCTCTTACAACAATGTGACGGCTTTCCTTGCTCCCGGAGTGGTAAATGTCTCTCTTAAAAAGGATTGTCTCTACAACTTGCTGTACTTCCCGCTGCTTTCTGATTAAAGAATTCTGATTGCCTTTTAGATGGAGGCACTGGAAGAAAAGCTGTTGACTGAGCTTCCTGAAGATGCGTGTGTCATCTCTTGCCGTTTTCCCTTTCCTAACTGGCCAGAAAAATCATCTGCTGGCTCTGGACTTGATAAGACTTATGCTTATGATATTGGCACAGTACGCTCACATTGTAGAAATCCCCCAAGTGCAGCATCAAAATAAGTCAAAATCTCTTTCCAGGACTATAATCCTAAAGTTCACTCATTTGTCCTGGAATTTTCTTTCTGATTTGAAAACGTATGAGTTGAATAGACGCTCTAAAGAATAACATCTGAAAGATGACTGAACCTTTGTGATGAGATGGCTTATTGTTTGTGTCCAATATTTGCACTTGCCAAATAGCATTTTACATACTGCTGATGAATTTAGTCGAATACTGCCATGCACCATGATCTATTCTATAGTTTTATGTTCTGACCCTTAAAAGTCAAATGAGAATAGTAACAAAGACAAGAGATGTGACCTTACCCTGATAATCCTGCTTATACCTGTAGGAGTCTGTTTGTGGCTCAGCTGTAAAACATGAAGTATAAAATATGTCTATTTTCTGATGAATAGGGTCTGTGTGTTTATTTATTATAAGAACTCAGCATTTTCTAAGACAAAGTTGAACAGAAAATAGTTCAAAGCAAACAAATTGTGAAAACTAAAATTGGATGTCCACAATACTCCGGGCAGGGGGGAAAAGGCCAGTTTAACTCCTACATACACCTTTCAGTATTAGTGATGCACTCATAAACATGGAGATGATCAAATGTGTGATTACACAAGCTTTCTTGTTTTTAAATAGTATTTCAATACCTCAATATTACAAATTTATAAACAGTCACACAGTGTATATGAATTACATTTTTTCATCTTTTTCCACTGGTTTAGTCATTTTCGGATCGTCACATCTCATTTTTGGTCAAATCCTTTGTTTTAAAGGATTATGCAGTTATGCTTTGTAAAGTAGATCAGTTTTTTCAATAGTTTCTTAACTTTCACACTGTCCAGTTACTGTAAATGACGAATGTGAACAAATGTATTTGCCCAAAACAGGTCTGTAACCCTAACTGTTTGGATGGGATGGTGAGAAATGTCCACAGGGGTGTGCTAGTGCTCCAAACTGGACTTGGTGCCTGAACATGATGAGGTGAGCCTGCCAGGAATACAGATTAGGTCTCTCAGTGCAATGGGTGCATTACTGACCAAAAACACCATACCTGCATAACGCTGGAATATAGTTTCCACCTGTGCAAAAGGTGGCCTGTCCATCTTAAATTCCGGAAGGAAATGAATTGGGTAACCATAAGTGTCCTTATAGATGTTTGGTGGTGAGACAACATGAATGAAATAACCAGGCTCAACACGGTGACTGATTTTTTTGCATTAAATAGTCATCATTTTGCCATTATTTCAACACTACTATACTTGCTTTACAATTTGAAAGAGACAGAGCTCATTCTTTCGTCTCACAACGTGACGTCAGGAGGAAGGCGGTGGAGATGGAGGAGGGTGGGTGCAGGAGTATAAAGACTCAGGCTGAGGCTCGGAGTGGCATTCTGAGAGAAGAGCTGGAGACAGCCTGTCATGGAAGTACAGATTAATACCGGGCTTCAACAGACAAACTGCAGCACCATGTGTGAATCCACGCAGAGGTCCTGCGAACCTCGCAGGAAGCGAACGGATGAGCGCAGTGCACCCTCAGAGATGGCACGGATTATCACGGATCCTGCCACGGGGAAGTGCTACTGTCGTGGAAAAGTTTTGGGAAAGGTATAGCGCAAGTCCAGAAATCTGTCATCTGCCACTCTTTGGATTTACCACGCAAAACCTGAAGGCAGAGCATGCTTAACATTTTTTTTTTCATCTTCCCAGGGGGGTTTTGCAAAATGCTATGAGATGACTGACCTGTCCACCAGCAAAGTTTACGCGGCCAAGATCATCCCGCACGCGCGCGTCTCCAAACCTCACCAACGAGAGAAGGTAAGCGCGCGGCTGACGGGTCCTGTGCGCAAAGCCTAGTTTGGTTAAAATTTCACAATTTGTTTCCCCTCCCACAGTTTCTGTAGTTACCGTTTTGTCTCGTCTCTTGCTAGATTGACAGAGAAATTGAGCTGCACAGGGCATTGCACCATAAACACATTGTGCACTTTTATCACCATTTTGAAGACAAGGAGAACATCTACATTCTGCTGGAATACTGTAGTAGAAAGGTGAGTGCAGCTTCTCCGTTCATTTTCTAACATTACCATATTTGAGTAGAAATTCTTAACACCTGCATTGCGGCCAAAGTGCTTTTTTGTTGTGCTTATTAGGGTGATATCATACACGCGCATAAATATGTGATATGAGATTTATAAATGTCTTCAAGTGTTGAGAAGTTTCAATTCATAATGCGAAAAAATGTGTTCTTGTTTCTCATAATCATACTGTTCTCTTTTATTGCCATTTCACAGTCTTTAGCCCACATTCTCAAGGCTCGCAAAGTGCTTACAGAACCAGAGGTGCGTTATTACCTGAGACAGATTGTGTCTGGACTGAAGTATCTGCATGAGCAAGAAATCCTCCACCGAGACCTGAAACTGGGTAAGGAATGCCTGCCCAACTGTGACACACCACACTGCTTTGCATAACTTTACAGATGCACTCCGTACATGGACAGTATCCTGTTTCCACCGCTGTTCTCTTTTCAATCGATTCATCTGCGGCGGATCTGTGCTGTACTTATCCTTTGATCAGGGGTTGAATATCAAGTGTCTTTTTTCTCATTCCCGTTCTTTGCCACAGGTAACTTTTTTGTGAGCGAGTCGATGGAACTTAAAGTCGGAGACTTTGGACTGGCTGCCAAGTTAGAGCCTGCGGGCAACAGGAGGAAGACGATCTGTGGGACTCCCAACTACCTGTCCCCCGAGGTGCTCAACAAGCAGGGTCACGGCTGTGAATCTGACATCTGGGCCTTAGGCTGTGTAATGTAAGTAGAAAAACATCAAAAGGCTCAATAATATTATCCATTGTTATGGATTATTCTTGCATAACATTGCACAATAGACATTGGCTTTAGTTATCACAGACAAGCATATCCCCATCTTGCCTCTTATCCCCTATTTTGTTATAAAGTTGCTTTTTTTGAGGAAATCAGCAGACTTACATATTACCCTCCCTCCTGGTGCAGGTACACTATGCTGCTGGGTCGCCCCCCATTTGAAACTACCAACCTGAAGGAGACATACAGGTGCATAAGGGAGGCCCGCTACTCCCTTCCCTCCTCCCTTTCGCCACAGGCTAAACAGCTAATTGCCACTCTGCTGGCCAAGATTCCCGAGGACAGACCCAACCTGGACCACATTCTGAGGCACGACTTCTTTACTCAGGTCAGTGCCACTTCCGTCTCTGCGTGTCCCGCTCTTTCTGTCTTTCCATCTGTAAAAGTCACTGTGTGGGAGGTAACCGGTGAACCCCCCGTCCACACCGCCATGCGCTGACCCACTTTTTCTCTCTCCGCAGGGCTTCAGTCCAGAGCGTCTGCCGGCTAGCTGTTGCCATTCAGCACCAGATTTCCACATTTCTAGTCCAGCCAAGAGTTTCTTCAAGAAAGCTGCGGCTGCTCTGTTTGGTGGAAAGAGGGACAAGGTCAAATACTATGAGACATTGAGTGAGTATTGCAATAAGAACTCAGTAAACTCAAATGTTATGTCACATCTTTATTTTTATCGGTCGCAGTTGCATGTTGATCACCTGGATGGCACTCTGTGTTGTCAAAAGTAGTCATTTTCCTGTTTTACATGTTTGCGTCGTATAGATAAGTTAACAAAAGAGGAAGAAGAAATCTACAAACTGCAACATGACTTGGAAAAAACCAACATCAGCCAACATCAGAGCAAAAGGATGTCTGAGGTAAGAAACCAGAACAGAATATTTAAAGAGCGTGGGTCCTTTTGCAGGTGCATTACTCATACCGCAGTTCAACACATGGGTGAATTTCAGATACCATGCTGTGGAGAATCCAATGAGTCATTCTCTCACTGTACTAAACTTTATAACAAGTGTAGTTTCAGAAAAAAGCTCAAAGCACTTATTCTCACCCTTTAAGCCAAGTACTTTGAATCTGTGGGTGACCACTGAGTCATAGTAGGAGAAGATTATGAGAACTCGCAGACACTAAACCCTGTCGTCACTCTTTCCCACCCCAGAATGGAAGTCTACTTCCGCCACCTGCCAGTAGTCCAGTTGCCCTGGCAACAGAGAGCCAGTCCCCAGCAACGCAAGACACCATCCGTCTGATCGTCAGGGGGAGTCTGGGCAGCTGCAGCAGCAGTAGTGAATGTAAGTTCACCGCATCATTTTGCAAAAACTGAACAATTACTTTTTGTGATACGCCGCTGAAGGTCTCCCCATGGAATACAGACATGATTATGTGCATGTAATCAGATATAGGAGCTCAAGTAATCTTTTAGCACTGCACAATCAGATGCTAAATGTACCCCTGTCGTTAATCCTGAAGGTCTGGAGGACAACACAACAGGGAGCATGGCTGAGACTGTTGCGAGTGTATTAAAGGGATGTCTGGAGAAAATGCCTAAAGGTGAGTGAACTTGTTGAGCCTCAATGCAGCTACTGACTGACTGCACATTTCTTCAGTGACTTTCTCAGACAAATGTTTAAAGATAGTCACGTTGTTTGAAGAATTCAAAAAATCAAAATGATGCTGCTCAAAAGCAACGCTGCCCTGTTTTGCCGACACACCCATACATTTTTCCCAGCATCTACTTCCCATTTAAGAACTCTACACAATAGACTACAAAGTCTTTAGGACTTAGAGAGTTTAATTGCTTTGATAAAAAGCACATTAGTCTTTAACGATTCAAGTTTCTCAAGACCTTTAACATAATAGTGTTTTAATCCGCCTTTTTCTCTGTTGTCACCCTGCAGCAAATGACATTCCTTCAGCCTCAAACAGTTGCAATCTTCAGTGGGTGACTAAATGGGTGGACTACTCCAACAAGTATGGCTTTGGTTACCAGTTGTCTGATTACACCGTGGGCGTTCTCTTCAACAACGGCACTCACATGAGCCTCTTGCCAGACCGAAAGTATGCATTATTCTCTGCTTTCACAATACTCAGCCTTCCTTGTGAAAATTATTAGTAATTTTAAGCTTGCTTGGATATGCTTCATTACCCAGGAAAACCTGCTAGTGCATTGGATTCATTTTGAAAATGTATAATGTCAGTCTTTATTGTACACAAGTTTTAATATGTTTTCTGGATGTTAAATATAGTTTGTCCTGACTGGTTATGTAACTTTTTCCAGGACCATCCATTACTACGCAGAGTTGGGCCAGCGCTCTGTGTTCCCCACCTGTGAGGTTCCAGAGCACTTTGTGGGCCAGGTGACGGTGCTCAAGTATTTTTCACACTACATGGAGGAAAATCTTATGGATGTAAGTAAAAATGTTTAGTCTCACTTGCCTCCATTTACTCCTCTGTAATTTACTTAGCTTTTGTTCCTTTGTTTTTCCACACCCTGCAGCATCGGAATGTGTCAAGTTGCAACTTGTCTTATCCTGATTTGTTACATTTTTTGCTTGCTTAGGGCGGAGACCTCGGTACTATCACAGATGCACACATGCCTAGACTCTACTTGCTGCAGTGGCTCAAGTCTGATCGTGCCCTCATGATGCTCTTTAACAATGGCACATTCCAGGTAAACACACCCTTCATCATGGGAAAAATATAGCTGTTGAACATGCCCTTCAGAACAGAGAAGCAAGTCAGAAATACAAAAAACAGCATATTTTTATTGTCTCCCCAGGTTAACTTCTACCACGATCACACCAAGATCATCCTGTGTTCCCAGAGGGATGAGTATGTGCTGACATACATCAATGAAGACCGCGTCTCCAAAACCTTCAAGCTTAGCTCTCTGTTGACATCCGGGTGCCCCACCGACCTGCGTCAGCGCTTGGTGTACTCCCTCAATATGCTCCTGCAGAGATGCAGCTAAGCCTACAACATGCATTATGGACAGAACAACTGACAGGTCTACTCACTGTGCCGCTGCAGTGCTGCAGAAGAACGAGGAGCAGAAAAAAACAACCTGCGAAAGATGTGTGGATTGCTTGGCTGGGCTTGAGCAGAATAAGAACACATTCCTACACCGGTGCACCGTCATGACTCAGCATCGGTGCAGGTGAAACCTTAATGCCAAGAGACTGAAAGAGGCTGAGAGTATGAAATGTAGCACCATGACCGTGGAAGGAAAAGGGCTGATTTATATTGATTGATTGATGGAAAGTAGGAAGGACCGGGTATGTCGGTACGAATGTAACCCAAGATGCTTTAGGGGGAAAAAAGAGGGATGTGTAGGAAGTAAAGACAGCTGCTGGGCTGGTACCAGCTTGATTGTGTAAGTATAGATTGACTGTAGAGGTATACACTGATGTTCTGAACCCACACAGAACGTTTCAGATATTGTAAATCATGTACAGTTCATATCACAACCATCACAGCAATGCAAAGAAATTACATGCTGATGTGTGTGTGTGTGTGTGTGTGCTTCAGGGTTTGGTTGTTTCTGATTGTTTGTCTCTGTCCGAGCGATAGGAGTGTAATATCACACTAACTTTAAAAACTGTGATTTGTTCTCTTTATTGGGCTAAGCACACTGAGCTAGGGACCAGAGAGGGGGTGTGGGCAAGGAGAGGCGCAGGAGGAGAGAATTTTACGAGGGTAAACAGTACTAAAGATCCTTACAGATCCCTTCAGAGCCATTATCACCTTGGTAAAATTGTACTAAATAACTTATTGTGACAGAAAAGTTCAGTATTTATTTATTTAATAAACAAGAATGTTTTCTAAAAAAAAAAGGAAAGAACTTTGGTCTTTTTTTCTCTGTTTGTTCCTGTTTTCATGCACAGTCATGCATGTTTACTGCTCTTATGTTTTCGGTGAGTGCTCTCAAACAGTTTGAGGCTGAAACGAAGCGCTCTTTTTTCCACATTCAATAAGCTGCTCCGGAAATTTACGAAGGAGCCTAATGTTAATTTCTTTTAAACTATAGATTATAACAGGAAAAGGGTGCGTAGAAAGAAATGGATAGAGGTCATGTTTATGGTGGATCCGTTCATACTGTGGATCAAGGCTCCTTCTTTTTAGAGTTGTCTTCTGCAGTGATAAATGGAACATTGAAAGATGACTGACTATGCAATGTGGCTGACCTTGTCTCACAAACACACATCCATGCACACACACAAGAGGTCTTTATTTTCTCATACAAACAAGGCCACTGATTAGCAGATATGTAGGCAGGGTGGGAGGCTCAGAAATGTGGAAAGAAAGCCAAACGGAGACATGCAGCAAGTATGACAGGCTTGATTAAATTTACTCAGTGATTGCATCACAGCTTTTCAGGCTAAAATCCTACAATCATTTTTTGAACATCCTTTAATTTCACTGATTTATGTACAGGAGCGCCTTGACCATTTTGATGAGTTGGTAATCAAGATATACTTTCAAAAGACATCTGGCATAGTTTCATACTGAATTTTCTCCTAACCATGCTGTAACCATGCTGAAATTGTAACCACTTATTGCTTATGCTCATTTCTTTTCTCCATATGAGTGTTTAATTCAGCTGTCTGTTGGAGACCTTGTCAACTTCCAAGCTTATGTAATGATGGAAGTTGAAAAAGGATGTTTGAGTCATCACTTTGGATGCTCACTTGAAATATCTGAGCTCTTCAGAGTTCAATAATGGATGCCTCATGCATAAACATACCCACTCGCACAGAGAAAGAACAGGAAGGAGCCTAAAAGAAAAAGGATCGCGAATTATTCATGACGACACCTACAAGTGTGTCAGAGTGTGTGTGTGTGTTTTGACCGTGATGCTTCATTGGAAAGGATGCTTCAGTCTGACAGGAATAGGTTCTGTTGTTGATGTAAAGTTCTCAAGCCCTTTTTTCTCTACATCTGCCATCTGAGCAATAAAAAAAACACCTCCATCAGATGGATACGCAGAAGGTGATAGTGCTTTCCAAGAAAGGAAAAGAAAATAGGATTTTCATTTTTAATTTCTTTATCCCTGGGGTTGAGTAAAAAGTCTTGCATTTTCTCATATTGCCTCAGCATCTATACATGCTGCTGTTTGCAGAAAATTAGGTCATGTCACAAGCTTGGCTATTTTTTTCTGATAGGCCATATTGGTTTCATAGGAATTTTATCCCCTTGTATGAGCCAAAAAAAAAATCTAATAAGTAAACGTTGAGCAGTTACTAAAGCTGCAAGCTCTTCTGCTGGTCCGAATGCAAAGGTCTTTCCATGTGGAGGAGAAAACGTCTAAGAAAACTATGGGTTTTCTGTATCACATAGATACAACTTTTATTCTGGATTGTAACATTAAGAGTGGGAAAAACCTTGTTCATGCTTGCATACTTTCCACAGGAATAACTCCAAGTGACAAAGGGAATTTATAAACCTCAACTTCTACCATAAAGTTTTCTATATGCAGAACAATGAGTCAGTATGGTATTAAAAGTGATTGTAGGCATATTCTATGAGGAAAAAAAGAAGCTAGGATTCATAAGTGCACACTGGGATGCTCGTGGGGGATTAGAAGGCCTTTGCGTATCAAATGTCAGCTCTCCTCCTCCTACTACATGGACAAAAACAGAATGTGGTTGAATGAGCGTGGCTTGTCCCGTTTTCCAGTCCTACTGCACTGACCACAGAGATCAGCAATGAATTGCTGTAGTACTAGCATAGCTGGGCTACTATTGTGTCGAACAGAGAAAATCAGACCCCGAGACTTAGCATATCTCTCCTCTCTTGTCATATTAGCTTTCCGTCCACATGCATAGTGTTCAATGAGTCACCATTCAAGAAGCAGTGGTTCTCTGACTTTCATCTTCTTTGTCTGATTCCTGCAAATTCCCAGAACCAGCTTTTACATTTTTTACATACCAGCTCTAAATATAGCATTATAGATTGCTAAAACAGTTTTCAATTAATTTACAAACAAAAGGTTTGTGATAAGACTGAATCCATCTGAGCAGCTCAGCATAAAGAATAGAAAAAAAATAGAGGTCCTAGGCAAACTCAAACCCAGCACAATATAAAAGTCAAGCATCTTGGCATCAACCAGAAACTGCTTGAATTTTCATAATCCATTGTATTGTATACATACTGGACAGGTTACAGATGTTTGTTTATTTTTTGTATAAGGAACATCATTGTGGTTTAGCTACTAGATGGGCACTAGAGTAACACATGTCAAACATGTTCCATATAAAGGTTCATCCTAACCCTCCTCGTGTTCACCTCTGTTCTCAGACAGATGTCATTCTTATTTCCAAATGCCCAGTCCTTAACAGCACTGCCATCAAATACATTGAATTCTTGGGCATGTTCAGTTGAATGCATCTGACTAACCACACTGTCAGTATGACTGAACTCACATAACCATTGCTAACAGTCTACGTCACATTGCTGAGAGGACTGTCGCAAAAGCTTTCACATGCAGTGGATGAGCATCACAGGCCAATCATTGTGTTTGAGTGAATGATACTTTTTGTTCTGTTTCTAATAACAGATTCTCTGACGACTGCCGCGGCACCCGACTTCGTGATGTCAGTGGGGAATGTGATTTCCTCGAATGGGGGTGAAGACCTGCAGACCTCTTTAATAAAAACATCACATGACCGTGTGTAGGCAGACCTCTGACAAAGGGAAATATGACCTCGGGAGAAGCTCATATTTTCCCTCAGCAGGATGAAGTTGAGTTATAAAAACCCATTTGTGAGAAAAATCTCACAAAATGGTGGAAAAATCGAACGAATGGGCAATTTAGTTCTGTTACTTCTAGTTGAAACGATTATGTAAACTGTGTATACACTACTTACCAAGTAACTGTTAATCAAAAGTCCGGAATGTGATATTATTTCATACTTATCAGAAAAAGAAATCGTGCAGTTCCACAGGAGACCCTGACACAGCGACATGCAAAAGTTTACAAATCTGTGGTCACAAACTTTGTCAGTCTTGAGTAACAGGACAGCTGATCTACAAATGGCATTAAATGTAGAGATTCTACTGTCTTTCAATATTCTGAAAGTAAATTAATTTTGTTCTGGTCAATCTTAGAGCAAAGCAATGAAAGGAGAGGTCTGTTGACATTTGGACACTACATCGGTGCCTCAGTGGTTTTTATTAGATCTCAGATCTTAATCAGCTTGTTGGATCACTGATTTGCCTATACGCAGGAAGGAAGGATCATGAGATCCTTGATTATCAAAAAGTTTAGAAATACTCGTCAGCTTTGTCTGTCTGCAAAGCAGCTGACTAGCACTTTGAAAATTAAAATAACTGATGTAAACAGGAAAGGAAAGAGGATACCAAGAGGCATGCCAACTTAACAGTTGGAATGCTGAAGTGTGGGAATGTTTTAGGCAATACTGCACACTATAGACTGTGTAAGGTGGTGTCTTTGCTGGATTATGCAATGGGCAAAGCACGTTGAGCAAAAGATTGCTTTCCCTTAAGTGGCTGAAATTGAAAGGAATAGACATTTTCCTGCTATTTTAAACAATACGTTTTTATGCTAGTTTCAATAATGATAATGATAGTAATGCATTTTATTCATAGGTGCCTTTTTAGCCCCTTATGGTCCTAACAAAAGAAACAAAAGGAAACATGGTGAAAATACTAGCAGTCAAGACAAGATACCCTAAAAACTTAGAGTCAAAACATACAAAACAGGTAGTTGCTTATATTGTGGTTGTGAAGAGATAAAGATCATGTGGAGTAGACCAGTTGGAAACAGTGTGTTTTAAGATTTGACTGAGAGCATATTTGATATATGTGAGGGCAGATATGTTGGTGTCCAAATGTCCAGAGGGAGCATTCCAATGTTGGGGGGCAGAGCAGAGAAATGATCCCATTATTAGTCCCATGGTGGACAGATGGGTTGGAGAGTTTGAGAGGATAAAGCAGCAGACATGGGCATACAGAATGCTGTGTATATTTCAAAAAGTTCAGAAAGAAATGGAGAGGTAAAGTTATGAAGGGCTTTGAATGGATTCTCTGAACTGATGAGGAGTGTAGTTGTGTGGAAAGAATTCTGGAGATGATGTCGGGAGTGGAACGGACAAGGGTCTTTTGTTTGCTGCATCAAGGTTTAGTTGTTACCTATTCGTTTCATTTAAGATTGTTGGTTGCAATGCCCGTGAAACTAAGAGCTTGTTTGAAGGTACTGCTGTGCTCTGTCCTTTTTCGAATGCACTCAGTTGCGAGATAATTATTGTTGAAGCTATAAAATACATGTGGTGAAAGATAAATACCATCCACACCACTGAGAAAAAGGGTGTGCTTTACTGTGATTCTTCTGAAATTCCCCTTCTCATATTCAAATTCTTCTCAGCAAAGTTTCAACATGCCTGGGTGTTACGGCACATAAATGAATCATTCTCATTTTAGTTCTTCAAAAGAAAGGATTAGTTTTGATTTATTTCCAACATTGTCACAAAGAAGTTTTCTTTGACATTTGTGGAGCTGCTAAATGACATTGTTTTACCTTAGTGTCAAAAAATTGTATGAATAAACACGCTATGAAGTTTTTTTAAGGAGCTTCATATCTGAGTTCAAAGCTGAGCCATGAGCAAAGAAACACATGACCAACGTCTTTCAATCATTCAGATCTAATTCTTTTTCTCAGCTTGATCAAAAAACGATGGCATTTAGTTTGAAGGCTGTTGAAGTGGTACCTACCCAAGATCTGTGCGGACTCATAGAAGGAAGAAACCCCTGAGGCCTCGCAGCCACATTTTAATCCTGTGATTCACAAAAGAGATAGAAGGATA